GAATCAGATCCATTCCTCCTCTGCTTTCTGCTTTTTTGGAGAGGGGTCACAATTTTTCTATTCTTTTGTTATGTCACAAAATATTATCAAAACATTAATGCAGTCTTTATGACAAAATTCCCGTGGGTACATTGTCATCCTAATAGATCCAGAAAGTATTAAGTGTATTTCTTTCCTAGCTCTTATCTGGTGATGATAAACATTATTCTCTCTTATTCTTGCTGCTCTAAGTGGTGCTGGGGGCTAGGAGTGACAGAGTTGCCTGAGAGCTTCTTGGAAATACAGGATCTCCTACGCAGGACAGAGTCAGAAAATCCATTTTAACTGTGGAGATCAGGTCCTGTGTACTAGTGAAGACTGTTTCTTTTCCAGGAATTGTGTGCACTTCGTTTGAGATGCACTGATGTATTCCATAGTTTTGAGAAATTTTACCGTTTCAAAGTATCTGACACCTCATGTAGCACAAAAATGTGATAGCTGTTTTGCATACTATACCCAGCTCCAGAAAGTTAATCTCAGGCTTTGGTTCTCCAGCCTGGGTCCCAGACCAGCAGCATTGCCCTCTGGGAGCTTCAGAATGCACAGAACCTAGAGAATAATTTTATGGTCTGTGGACATTTTGTTGAAATTAAACTTTCAAATTGCTATATATATAGGTCTCTGAAAATCCAAATAACCAATTTCATATATGGGTAAGGAAAAAAATTCGTGTGTCCATAAGCTATGTGGCATAGATCAAGGCTGTGGCATTCTGTGGCCTTCAAAGAGAGAAGGGGAGATTTTATAAGCTTATCAAATAGATTTGTCATTGGAACTAAAATTAGGATTTTTAAATTTTGATTAAAAAATATGAATACTGGGCCGGGCATGGTGGCTCACACCTGTAATCCAAGCACTTTGGAAGCCAAGGTGGGCGGATCGCCTGAGGTCAGGAGTTCAAGATCAGCCTGACCAACATGGTGAAACCCCGTCTTTAAAAAAATAAAAACAAATAAAAAAATAATAAAAAATAAAAAATATGAATACTGTTACTTTAACTCCTTTTCATTATAGATTTTACTTCTAACAAAGTCAGTGAAAAAGAAACGTGTTCACTCCAGAAACATGTAAAGAAAGTAAAATTATTAAAATACCAAATATTTAATTCTTGTGACAGATATTGAATCTGCTTTTAAAGAGTTAAGAAATTGCCATTTTCATGACAGTTTTTTCCTTCAACAATCTTAATATTGAACCTTGAAATTTTTGTTTTAGGTCTGCTGGCTGGTCAGTGATTCTAGTCCAGCAAATTACTTTATGACTGAAAGCTCTTCTTTGTTTAGAAAAATCTACTGTGGAGATTAGGTCCTGTTTACTAACGAAGACTCTCTTTTCCAGGTCAAAACATTTTGTGGGAAAAGTCCTGTTCATGACCTGGGAGAAACAAGACAGAAAACAAATCCTACCTCATTTATGAATTTCTTACACAAGCAGTTTATGGATGTCTGGGCAATCGTAACACTTTACATTTAAAAACATACTATAGGGGCACATTTTCTGTGGTTAAAAACGATCTCCGGAATAAGTGTAAACTAGTTTTCTTTTTTATTGAGGGTTTTGGCTTTTTATTTGTAAATTAAATTGTTACCTACTCCTTGGTGCGGTGGTCTTGCTGGTTTATGTTGGACAGTAGTGTGGTAGCAATGCACAAATTCACAATTAGCCAACAGATCCTTCCTTTTCAACACTCTGTGACTGGAAACCATTAGAGGATTTTCAAAAACTGTCCCTCATAGCCCAAATTTTGGGTCTCTCAAAAATGAGAATAAGAAAATTGGCATTGTTGGGAGAAAAATCCTGTTTTACTGAAGCATGAACCGGCTCAGGCAAGCAAATAGCGGGAGTTAGCACAGGAAGGGGAGTGTGCTGCAGGGATGTCTGGCGATGTCACCTTCAAAACTAAAGCGGTTCCAGGTGGACAGACGAGTCCCTGATCATGTTGTGACTGCATTGTGAACCTTCATTGTCTTCACAGTCTTGCCCCTTACCTAGTGAGGCTTTTCTGAACTTGGAGAGAGACATCTAGAAATCCCAGTTTTGCTGTGTAAGGACCATTAGCTGCAAGTCATTGGAAGTCAAAAGAAAGCAGTGTAAATTCCAAAGTGGTCTTGACTTAGCAAGGATATGGGGTAAGTCTAAAACTTTAGATTTAAGGCTTTGAAACATGTTAACTGCATGAAATAGTAAACATTTCAAACTCTTTGGCCTTTGTCATTTTGTGACCCAGGTTTTTCAGTCTGTTGTATGTCTCCTGCCTGCCTTGTTTTGCTAATCCTCCTCCTCCTCGAGCTTCTCCACTCCATTTTTATTCTGGGCATCCAATCCACCCTTTCACAGTGTGTGCTTCATCAGGTCCCTGGTTCACATCTGAGTACCTTATAAGCCTTGCCAGCACTAGTATATTTGCAGTAACAGTTGGGGGGGGGGGAGGGTGTGTGTGTGTGGGCGTGTGTGGGTGTGTGGGGTGTGTGTGTGTGTGTGTTGGGGGGGGGGGGGGGGGGGGGGGGGGGGTGTGTGTGTGTGGGCGTGTGTGGGTGTGTGGTGTGTGTGTGTGTGTGTGTTGGGGGAAGCTTTACTTTCAAAGCTATCCAATATAATGGATACAAAGCGGAACCCAGGAAGTAGCACCTGAGCTTCCAATCGACTTTCCTGATGATTCCACTGAATAAGATTCTCCACATTTAAGACTCAAGATAGGATTGACTTGATAGTGTATAAAAATGGAAGTTTTCTACTTCTGGACTGAAACCAAACGCCTCATATCTAATTGTAGTTATTCAACATCAGAATCCCTCTTTTTGGCAGAACAGACAAAAGAATGTGTACTTTCTACTACAGCCATTACAGCAAACTAGATCTGAGTGCGGTTGCTAGTAAATTAACTGAACAGCCCAATTATGTTGTCCTTACACAAGCAGACACTGGAAAGGAATAATGGCAGAGGACATGACTGAGTCTGGCTACAGCCATGCATCCCATCTGTGGTGAGCTTAAGTCCCGAGATCGCCTGTATCCTAGGCTGTGAACTGAATCATGTACTATATCTGACTTTATAGCCTTCCAGGGGAAAGGTTAGGACATCTGGACACGACTACGGCTATGTCCTCTGTCACATAAGCTGTGCTGCATACACTAACTACACGAGGGTCCCTTGGGCCTTGACCTGTGGCTCTAAACTTTATCTATAAACCTTTGGTAAGGTGCTGCCTGAGAACTGCTTTGTTTTCCAGAGGGATCACTGCTCAGGCTTTTTTCCCCCAAAAATAATTTTGAACTATGTGCCGATTCCTATTTGGTTTATGGCTTAGACACCCTGCCTTCCTGATCAACAGCAGGCCACCTCCTCATGTGTTCCTCTGAGGCTGTTCATTCACATCTGTAGTTGGACTCCTACTGTCTCCTTTATTGCTCCTGACCTGCACTACTGCTGACTCACATCTCCTTCTCCCCCCACAAAGCTATGAAACCAGATACATTCATTACATGATTCAATTTAGTTGAAAAAAAGTCCAATCTCAGCTCTCATTTAGCTAAAAAATTGCAAATATCAACCATGTTTTAAAGTTTGAAACTTGAGATCTAAAAGGAAACAGACCAACATCATAATGTTTTATTGACAAAACCATAGGAAAAGGCAGTTTTAGGATGTAAAGTAAAAATGGTGCTCTGAAATATCTACACAAATATGAATTCTGAAAAGTTTTCATTAAAATCGTATTTTATACAATTAGAAACCAATGAGGAACAAAACAATTTTCAACTTCTCCATAACCCAGACTGAGCTTGATTTATGCTTGCCAGATATTTAAGAGGATCTGAGTTCAACCTGTGGGTAATATACAGAAGCAGGAACTCTTCAAGACAGCGTGGCGGCTCCCACGCAGCCGACAGGTAACAGGCTTGGCTGTTACCTAAGTCCCATCTTCCCAGTTGGTACTCAAAACAAGGTTACAAGATGTGGCTTTAAAAAAATGTACAGATTCCAAGAACAAAGTTAAAACCTCATTTTTTTGTTTTGTTTTGTTTTTGAGACAGGATCTCATTCTGTCACCTAGGCTGGAGTGCAGTGGCCGTTCAGGTTCGCTGCAGCCTTGACCTCCCAGCCAAGCAGTCCTTTCACCTCAGCTTCCTGAGTAGCTGGGACTACGGGTGTGTGCCACCCATGTTACCCAGGCTGGTCTCGAACTCTTGCACTTAAGCGGTCCTCCAGCCTCAGCCTTCAAAGCGCTGGGATTATTGGTGTGAGCCACGACACCTGGTCAAAAGTTCACATTTAATATTCTCTTTTATGCCTCATAGTGTACTGATTTACATTCTTGCTAAATCTTAAAGACTCTCTTGTTACCCTCTGAAAAGATTAGTGACTACAGCACATTTACAAAGTGACTGCCCTCTCCACCTTTTGTGCTTAGGGAATGTGTGGCTACTGCCTACTAGAAAAAGATCAGGCCTCCCCAACCCCTTCAAGGGCAGCAAACGCACACTTTATTCCATGCTTGGGTAACCTGACTATAACATGGCTCCCTTGCTGTAAGCAAATGCTTTAGAGTTGAATTTTTTCTTTTTTTTTAAACACAGAAGTTCACCAGGGCTAACAAAAAATTTCAAGTTAAGAAAATAAGTCTTGCTGGGTGCAGTGGCTCACATCTGTAATCCCAGCACTTTGGAGGCCGAGGCGGTTGGATCACCTGAGGCCAGGAGTTCGAGACCAGCTTGCCCAACACGGAGAAACCCCGTCTCTACTAAAAATACAAAATTACCTGGGCATGCCTGTTATCCCAGCTACTTGGGGGTCGGAGGTTGCCGTGAGCTGAGGTCGTGCCATTGCACTCCAGCCTTGGCAACAAGAGCGAAACTCCATCTCCAAAAAAAAGAAAAAGTCTTTAATTTTCTTAAATAATCCTCATATGTACTATCCACATTGTGGAAAAACTGAAATATGCAGTCTGGACACTGCACTGAGATTCCAGCACCCTGGCAGAGACACAGCTATGTCGCATCTTACAGACTACAACAGACAACAGGCTTGCTTGCAAGAAGTTTAGACAAAACTTTACATGGATGTGCTGGAATTCCAAACTGCTGTCAAAGAGAGTACAGGAATCGGTCTGCAGAGAACTCCACCCAATCCCTTCCGTTTGGTCACTGCAGCTGCACTCTATATGCACCTATTAGCAACTTAACCTGTTGAAAGAAAAGAATGCAGGTGTCAGTATAGATCCAGAAGAAAACCCACACATATCCGAGGTTTGCTTCTATTATTTGGCAATATTTTCAGGTTGCTTATCATCAGTTTACACTGTTAGATCATTGCCATTTTAATTCAAGAAATAATTCCAAGTGCTTATAATTTTATATTACTGTTTTATTAGACAGACTATTTTGTCCAGCTTCCTTTCACACAAGAGATTTGGGACCGCCCTAAAGATAACACATTTGGCAATTCCATACCAAGGCCTAGAACGTGATTCAGATGGCTGCATCCTCTAGAGAGCGTTCTTCTCAGCTGCAGCCTAGTCGTTTTCCTGCCACATTATCATGTCTAACACAGAGTAGACTGAGGGGGTGCACCAAGCATCACTGCTCAAGGAAGTGCCTGTCTCTAGGACAGGCACACCAGGATTCTTGGAATTCTTTTCTAATGATGACACAGTAATCTGGAGTAACAACTTGAGTAGTGACACTAAATATGGAGAAAGGATTTTCACCTTGGCAGAGGGTGCTTCCGTCAACCTTATGAAGAGCTTATTGGGACCTGCAATAGGGCTGAATGAGTAAACAAAATGACTGTCCTACAATGGAAAGAAAAAAAAAATCAGTGTTTTTTCACACAAACTTAGACCAGAAGCCTTTAAAACATCAATGTTGTAAAAGAATCATAAATTTTATTTTTATTATTTACTGTTTTGGAGATGGAATCTCTGTTGCCCAGGCTAGAGGCTGTGGTGTGATCTTGGCTCACTGAAGCCTCTGCCTCCCAGGTTCCAGTGATTCTCCTGCCTCAGCCTCCTGGGTAGAGATTACAGGTGCATGCCAAATGCCCGGCTAATTTTTGAATCGTTAGCAGAGACGGGGTTTCACTATGTTGGCCAGGCTGGTCTTGAACTCCTGACCTCAGGTGATCTGCCCACCTGGGCCACCCAAAGTGCTTATTTTTAATTCGTAAGTCAGTATGTTGTGGAGGCCAAGGCGGCAGATCGCTTGAGCCCAGAAGTTTGAGACCAGCCTGGCCAACATGGTGAAACCCTGTCTCTACAAAAAATACAAAAAATTAGCTGGGTGTGGTGGCACGTCTGTAGTCCCAGGTAGTTGGGAGGCTAAAGCAGGAGGATTGCTTGTGCCTGGGAGGTGGAGGCTGCAGTGGGCTGTGATCCATGCCACTGCATTCCAGCCTGGATAACAAAGTGAGAGGGTCTCAGAAAAAAAAATTGTCATCTATTTTTCCCTTGATTAAAAATATACGAATGACAAAATTAATCCAGGCAACTGGATTAAAATGCACCCAGTCATATACAGTACAAGTGTTAAAGTGACTATATCCAGCTAATTTTGCGTAATTGAGTCCAAGGAAATAATTCTAAAAGTGGCCAAGTAATTATGTACAGAGTCTTTGAGATCATTAAGAATTTATATTCAAAACAATGATGGTCCTAAGGCAGCATAGTAAGCATAATTTAAGGCAAAAAATAAACAGGAAAAACTCCTACTGACAAAATTTAGGATAATCTTACTTTATGGGTAAAATTATTACCCAGAAAGTATTAATGGGTAATATTAATTGGGTCATTTTCTGAACAATTTTATTAAGACACAAAAAATTTAAAATTAAGTCAACTACTATTAATTGGGCCCTTTTCTGAGCAATTATATTTTATTAAGACACTAAAATTAAGTCATCTGTGCTTTTGATTAGAAGAATATACTTTTTAGTAGTGAAATACAGAGTATCTTACCAGAAAAACAGGAAGTTGAAATTTATCATTCAGAACTACAGCTTGTACACTGCATGGTCCACAGAGCCGCGCAATAACTTCTTTACCCAAAAAGTTTGCATGGAAGATAAACAGCAGGATGCCAGAGCCTGAACACACGGGAGATGTGTGTGAATTACTCCAAATGCAACCTTGAGCCCCCAGAGGGAACATCCACGCCAGATGGAAGAGGGCCCCTGAGCTGGGCCTGGTCAGACAAGCATCACCCACTGCAGCTGGAGGCTCAGAGGAGGCTGGCCGTCTCAACGCTTGTGTCACCTGGCATTTTTCAACCCACAGAACCCTTTTTACCTTTTGCCCAAGTAACCTCTACTGACAGTTCATGGAAAAGACTTAAGTACGATTTTCTACACTGAAATTATTAAACTGGTATTTAAAGATTGCTGCTGAATGAGCACACGTCCCAGGGACATTCCCGTGGTGGGCATCTTTGGGTGTGGGTCTGAGTGGTTTTCCATTTTCTTCCACATACTCTTTGGTCCCTTCCAAATTTTCTGATTAACATATACCAAAAATTGGCCAGGCATGGTGGCTCACACCTGTAATCCTAGCACTTTGGGAGGCTGAGGTGGGCGGATCACCTGAGGTCAGGAATTCAAGACCAGCCTGACCAACATGGAGAAACCCTGTCTCTACTAAAAATACAAAATTAGCCAGGTGTGGTGGCACATGCCTGTAATCCCAGTTACTCTGGAGGCTGAGGCAGGGGAATCGGTTGAACCTGGAAGGCGGAGGTTGCAGTGAGCCAAGATTGCACCACTACACTCCAGCCTGGGGAACGGAGTGAGACTCCATCTCAATCAATCAATCAATCAATCAATATTGGTTGATGCAGACCTTGTGCCCATGCTGAAAAAACTCTGCAGGCCCAGCTGCTGTGGGTGTCAGTGGGTGCTCAGGTTCGCCAGGGCCAGCCCAGGCCATCACTCTCTGGTGCCCACACCTGGCAATGCAGATGCTCCATGTGAATAAACAAAACTAAATTATTGGCCGAGCATGGTGACTCGTGCCTGTAATCCCAGCACTTTGGGAGGCCGAGGCAGGCGGATCACTTGAGGTCTGGAGTTTGAGTACAGCCTGACCAACACGGCCCCAACTCTACTAAAACTACAAAAATTAGTTGGGTGTGGCAGCGGGTGCCTGTAGTCCCACCCACTCTGGAGGATGAGGCAGAAGAATCACTTGAACCCAGAAGGCAGAGGTTGCAGCTAGCCGAGATCGTGCCACTGCACGCCAGTCTAGGTGACAGAGGGAGACTCCCTCTCAAAAAAAAAAACAACTATAAATTATGATTTCACGTCAAGTTCTCTCAACACTAAGATATTACAAATGGCTCTTTCAGGGTCATGGCTATATGTTCTTAAATACATTTTCCAGGAATGAATACAAACCATTTACAAAATGGGGAACAAGGGTTTCTAAGCAAAAAAAGGCTAGAGTCCAGCTTCCTCCCCCTGGCAGACAGTGCTGCTTCCACATCTACCTAGCACCGTGCCTAGGGAGGGCCAGCCGCAGTCCTGCCTGGAGAGCAGCTGTTGGGCAGAGGCTAGAGAGGAATTGGCATTTCCATCTCTCAGTTTTACTATGGGCAAGACTATTTTTCTTTTTCAAAGGGCAAAGACTACTACAAACAAAATTCAGGGAAAAAACATTCTAGGCTTAGAATCCTGAAGCTGAATTTTAATAAAACTCATTAGGAACCAGTGTCATTAAGACGCAACTTCCAAGCTCAAAATGGGTGTTAAAACAGGGAAGGGGGTGTCAGCTGGGTCTCTCTTCCACCAGAGCAGCTCGGCTGTTAACTGGTCTGCAGAGTTATTACAAGTAATGGAATTTCCTTAAAGTTTTGTTCAACGAAAAGATTCTGTCAAAAAGTCTGTTAATATAGTGTCACACTTCACATAGAAAAGTGTGAAGAGAGGCATAGGCTTACCTTCTGCTATGTTCTGTGGGGGTTTGTAATTGAAATCTGTTGAAAAATCTGGCCCCTCACAGAGTCGATGGCATGCAATTGGAAAAACGGGTTCTAGCAGAGCAAGGCGAGCTTCAAAGTAATCCTTTATTGTCTCTTCTGCTACTCTGGAAAGTCTAAGAAAAAAAAAATAGTAGGCATTGCTAACATTAATGTAGAAAACAACCACAAGCCTGTCAAATACCAGTGAGGCCAACCTTCCAAAAGAGAGCTGCAGCTGCTTGCCTCTACTTTCCAGCTCTCCCTCCACCAGCACCGGACAGCCGTGGATCTGTCTTGTTGTCCATCTCAGTGGAAGCGAAGTCTCTTCCCCTCACTGCCATTTCCAACTCCCTAGCCTTTAGAACAGTGCTTGGCACAAGTCTATGTGTAATACGTAGTTGTCTAATGAATCAGTGGAAAATCAGAAATGGGAATCCCTCAGTCCTGGGCAATTCAGGAAAGTGGGTCACTCTACTTGCTGGATCTCTGCAAACACCCCGTGTGAACAGAGGAGTCAGGACTCCAGCCATCAGCAGCACTGAGGGCGACGGGCGCAGTCCTAGAGGCCCACTCGAGACCTGCTACGTAAACACCCGCCTTGAGTTTGCTACTGTCTGTGAGAGTTTGATACGTGTTGCTAAAAGAGTTAAGTGATAGAATACTAAACTGTTTTAAGTATGAACTTGCAATCAAATAAAATGTGATTTAGAATTTACTTGAAAAAGAATGAACTGAATAAACTGGTAAATCCTGACAACCGACAACAGAATATTAATCAGAAATGCACTATCAAGACATGGAAGGAATCTCGGATGCCTATTACTAAATGAAAAAAGCCAATCTGAAAAGGCCAAATAATGTTTGATTCCAACTGTTCTGGGTAGGGCAAAACATGAAGACAGTAAAATTACTGGTGGTTGTCAAGGGCTAGGGGAGGGAAGGATGTAGAGGTGGAAAACACAGGCTTTTTAAGGCCATGAAACTATTCTCTATGACTCTGTGATGAGGGATGGATGTCATTATGTATTTGTCCAAATCCAGAGAATGTGTAACACCACGAGTGAGCCCTAATGTCAATGCTGTGCTCCAGGTGATTATGAGGTGTCCCTATAGGCACATTGGCTGTAAGTAATGTACCACTGTGGGTGACTGGGGTCTCAACAGTGGGGGAGGATGGTGTGGGGGAGGCTTCGAAATATGTACCTTCCATTTAACTTTGCTGTGCTTAAAACTGTGGCAAGAAATAAAGTCTATTAAAAAGAAAGACAAAAGTTTAAAGTTTTTTTTTTTTTTTTTGAGATGGAGTCTCACTCTGTCACCCAGGCTGGAGTGCGGTAGCGCCATCTTGGCGCACTGCAACCTCCGCCGCCTGGCTTCAAGCGATTCTCCTGCCTCAGCCTCCCGAGTAGCTGGGATTACAGGCACCCACCGCCACGTGTGGCTAATTTCTTTTTTAGTAGAGATGGGGTTTCACCATGTTGGCTGGGCTGGTCTCAAACTCCTGACCTCAAGTGACCCACCCACCTTAGCCTCCCAATGCACTAGAATTACAAGTATGAACCACTGTGCCCAGCCAAGTTTAAATGTTTTTAAGAAAATGTCTACTAACCAAATTAAGAGTATACTTAAGATTTAAGAAAAATACTCCCAGATAGGCCAATGTTAACTTTTAAATTTTTTGAGACTTAGCTGGGCGCAATTGATCATGCCTGTAATCCCAGCAGTCTGGGAGGCCGATGTGGGTGGATCATGAGGTCAGGAGTTCGAGACCAGCCTGGCCAACATGGCAAAACCCCGTCTCTACTAATACAAAATTTAGCCAGGTGTGGTGGCAGGCGCCTGTAATCCCAGCTACTCGGGAAGCTGAGGCAGGAGAATCAGCTGAACCTGGGAGGTGGAGGTTGTGGTGAGCCGAAAGATTGTGCCACTGCATTACAGCCTGGGTGACAAGAGCAAGGCTCCATCTCAAAAAAAAAAAAAAAAAAAAAAAAAAAAATTTTTTTGAGAAATAACTTGCAGAGAAATAATTCACATGCCATTTATGAATCTGTGACCTACTGGAAACAAAACCACCAGGACTTGTGCTGGATGTTTTTCTGACACACAGGGCACTCCAACTACAACGTGTCTACATAAACAGGTGTATGCTACGGGACTTAACCACGGCACAGTCCTTCCCACTTACGTCTCTAAATGGCTCTTCAGCAAGTCGTACACAAGCACGTTGTTAGACTGCTTCGCAAAGTGCAGGGCACTGTTTTGGTGCTTTGACAAAATGTTGCAGTCAGCTCCACATTCAATTACGAGTCGTACGATGTCTGAATTTCCTCTTTTACAGGCCTAGGTCAGGTAAAAAGGAGTAACAATTACTTAGCTGTAAACTGTGGTAACACTACCCACAGCTGTTGGTTCCGTCTCTATGCATGCCTGGGGGTTCTCTGTGAAGAGAGGGCACAGGGCAGGGAAGAGGGGAGAGAATTTATGGCGCTTGTCAGGCCATGGCATTAGGAGTCACACAGTGTTGTTTAAATGCAAGTGGGGAATATCTTTGACTCAGGGGCCAACACAGAAATCTGTGTGCTATATTCAGTCAATTTCTTCACTTAATTTTCAGGAAATGGGCAACTTCAAAAAGGATGCTTCAGTCCCAAGACAGAACAGACACCAGGCCTTGCTAAGCAGTCCCCTGCTGTCCTCTGTCCCTGCCATGCTGTCCCCCGTGAGCCAGCCTCTCAGCAGAGGCACAGAGATATGCAAGCCTAGCCCTCACTATAGAGAGCTTTTTCTCCAGAATCTCAAAAGCACCTCTCATAACCTCAAAATGTCCCCAGCTGCTGCTGTAAAGGAGACACCCAAGCACAGGTATGAATCTGAATTTGCAAATCTATGATGGAGCTGTGGCACAGTCAACAGTTTCTGTCTCTGCCACTTACTAGCCACGTGACTTCAGATAAGTCCCTTAATTCTTCTGAGGCTCACGTTTCCATCTGTGAAGGGAGATGAGGGTCCCTGTGCCTCCCTACCCTGTGAGGCAGATGCTGGGAGGGCGAGAGGCCCCGCTGGGACCCACAGAGCCCACAGTGACGGGCGAGGGCAGACCCTCTGCACCTGCCCGCTCTGGTAAGAACCAATGTAGACACTTTCTCCTCAGGTGAAAAGGTTTTTGTTTTAATTTCTGAAAATTACTATGTTTACATCTCATTCTAAAACTCAAAAAAACTTGAATATACTAAATCCTGAAAGCAATTAAAATACAGATTTTCAGAGACAAATACTTAAAAAACTTCATGGCAGATAAAGGTAGTCTATGGAATTCAGACCCAGTGAAATAAGTGCTATGTGTCCTCTCAGGGAAGAAATGCCACGCCCTCCCCAACCCACTTCCAGAGCCATCTCCCCTCTGTGCCCCACTCCCCAACTCAACACCATACCTCAGCAAGGCAGGCAGCCCTGAGGAGCTGACCCGGGTGCCTGCTGTGCCAGGGGAGGTGCTGCCTGCCAAGGACCACTTCCGTCCGCCCCGTGGCTCTCACACTCCCTCCTCCTCCTCCGCTTCTCCCCACGCAGGCTTCTTCCATCTATGGCCCTTTTCTCCTTTCCAATTCCCCATGGATGACCCCACTCTCAACCTATGGCTACAGTCACTGTTGCAGAGCTGAAGGCAACAAACCCGAATCTCCAGTCCGTACCTCTCTCCTGAGCCCAGGATCCCCAGTGAAATGTGCAGAGGTGACATATAAACAACCCAATGCTCAACTCCCCCAATCTGTGCCACCTGTGCCCCCAATTAGGAAATGGAATACCCAGGCGTCACCTCCAGTTACCAAGCTCTGTGAATTCTACCTCCTACCAAGTGGTCACCTCACCTGCTCCACCCCTTCTGCCACTACTGAGATACGGACTTGTTATTTCAAGTAACCTGGAGACCCTCCCGACAAGTCTGCAAACTATCTTCCTCCCAATCTATGCCTCTTCTGTACTGAGAAGCGTTAAAACAAACAAATGAAAACCCTCTAATCCGATTCTACCCTTCTCCAGCTTCAACCAACCTTGCTGTGGCTCCCCAGTGCCCTCAGACTTGGCCCACAGGGGCTTCTGTGCCCACCCACCTCTCTCATGCCCTAGACACATCTGCATGGCTGCAGTTCAGGGTGTACCTGGCCATCTGTCACCAAGATGATGCTTTGAGAGGCCACCTCGGCTCCACACACAGCAACCACAGAAACAAATGAAGGGAAACAAAAGACAAACCTCAGGCTCCTGAACAAAATGAACATTCCCATGCACCAAAAGGAAAGTGCGTGAGGCCAGGAGCTCAAGACCAGCCTGGGCAACACAGTGATATCCTGCCTTTAATAAGAAAAAAAAAAATGGCTGGGCGTGGTGTCATGCACTTGGGAGCCTGAGGGAAGAGACACTTGAGCTTGGGAAGTCAAGGCTTCAGTGAGGCATGACGGTGCCACTGCACTCCAGCCTGGGTGGCAGAGGAGACTGTTTATGGGCCTCGTGCAGCAGAAGGCCAAGGGACAGTGGTCTGGGCCTTCAGAATAGGGTTCACAGTGGGATTCAATGCCAGGTGCCCTGCAGACCTGGGGCCTGGCTATGTTCTTTTGCTTACTGGGGCCAGAGGCTGGAATGGACACTGGGCAGGCCCCTGCTTGGCGCAATGGCTTACACAGAGCCAAGCATCCCAGGGACACAAGAGGACACGTGCCCATGGGGAGCTGAGCCGGCCACCCCTGGCTGGGTGTCTGGACCTGCTACATCCTAACAGCATCTTGGGCCAGGAACCCACAACTGCCGCAGAGGAACCAACCAGACCGGGCAGGGCCCCCTGAGACAAATGCCAAACTGCTGACCTTCCTCTCAAAACCTGTCTGGAAATCGCGTTCCAGAACACAGGAGCAAGCCCAAGGCGACAAATTCACCATCATAAAATGTCGAACACACAGAGCACACGAGGAGCTCCGTCCCACCCTCGGCCCGGCTTCGAGGCCGGCAGCCTCTCCGCTGCTCCAGCTGTGGCTGGAGTGCCCTTCCTGCTGACTTGACTGCCATTTAGGACACAGTGTGGCACTGGCCTCATCCACCCTAAGGACTGCCAGTGTCCCCAGGGCCTAGCTCGGAACACTTCCCTGTGACCTCCAATCATATCACTGCCCATATGAGCTCTCACTGCTGCCCTGCTGGCCCGTTTCTCCTCCTTCCACGTGAGCGGCTGGACTCCAGGACTGTCTTGGTACCCACTGTGTTCTCAGTCCCCAGCACAGTGCCTGACAGTGGCAGATGCCAACACAAGCACCAGCCAACGTACTGAAGAAAGGGACGACCCACAGGAGGGGTTTACCTTCATCAGCGCAGTCTCACCATTGCTTTGCTGGACATTTACAAAAGCTCCTGCTTCCAAAAGAATAGCCACTGTAGTTAAAAAGTTCTATTAAAAGAAAAAAAAAAGCGAATTTAATGCCCCAAATTATTTAAAAGACAGTTTTCAGATATTTTGAAATTTTTAGTCATCAGGAAAAATACCCGGCAGGTTCTATTGCAAGTGGCTGTGGGCCACAGCATTTATGTGGGGCCACGGGGCTGAGCCCTGTCCCACAGATGCCCACGCTCGGCCACTCACTGTGCTGCCAGCAACAACTGCTACCTGAGTGGAACCACTGGCTCCAACCTAACAGCCTCTGCATATAAATTCTTTAAAAAGATATAAATCCTTTGAAAAGGTGTGGTGGCTCACGCCTGTAATCCCAGCCAGCACTTTGGGAGGCTGAGGCGGGTGGATCACGAGGTCAAGAGATCGAGACCATCCTCGCCAACATTGTGAAACGCCGTCTCTACTAAAAATACAAAAATTAGCAGGGCGTGGTGGTGCGTGCCTGAAGTGCCAGCTACTTAGGAGGCTGAGGCAGGAGAATCACTTGAACTCTTGACCTCAGGTGATCCACCCACCTTGGCTTCCCAAAGTGCTAGGATTACAGGTGTGAGCCACCATGCCCGGCCTGAGAATCACTTGAATCTGGGAGGCAGAGGATGCAGTGAGCCAAGATCATGTCACTGCATTCCAGCCTGGCAACAGAGCTAGACTCTGTCTCAAAAAAAAAAAGAAAAGATATTGGGAGGCAGAGGTGGGTGGATCACCTGAAGTCAGGGGTTTGAGGCCAGCCTGGCCAACATGGTGAAACCCATCTGTACTAAAAATACAAAAATTAGCCAGGTGTGGTGGCACACGCCTACAGTACCAGCTACTGGGGAGGCTGACGCAGGAGAATCTCCTGAACCCAGGAGGCAGAGGTTGCAGTGAGCTGAGATCACGCCACTGCACTCCAACCTGGGCGACCAAAAAAAAAAAAAAAAAAAAAAAAAAAAAGAAAAAGAAAAAGATGATATATGGGAACATTTCAATTAAATTATTAACCAAAAGGAATACAAATACAGTTGGAAAAAAACTTGAAATTATCTAGGATTAAAATTAATATTAGTACTTTAATCAGAGTACTTTAATATAAATTATTTCCAATGAGATAAATCACATTTTGAAATGTGATTACAATGCACTATTGATAAAACCATTCATTACATGTCACAGATCAACTGAAACATGAAATTAAAAAGTTACCCTGGCTGGGCGTGGTGGCTCATGCCTGTGATCCCAGCACTTTAACCGAGGCAGGAGGATCACTTGAGTCCAGGCCGGGCAACACAGTGACACCGTGTCTCTACAAATTTTTTTTTTTTTTGAGACAGAGTCTTGCTCTGTTGCCAGGGTGGAGTGCAGTGGCGTCATCTCGGCTCACTGCAACCTCTGCCTTCCCAGGTTCAAGTCTCCTGCCTCAGCCTCCCAAGTGGCTGAGACTACAGGCATGTGCCACCACGTCCAGCTGATTTTTGTATTTTTAGAAGAGACAGGGTTTCACCATGTTGGTCAGGATGTTCTTGATCTCTTGACCTCGTGATCCGCCTGCCTCGGCCTCCCAAAGTGCTGGGATTACAGGCGTGAGCCACCGCACCTGGCCCCTAAAAAAATTTAAAAAATTAGCCAGGTGTGGTAGCGCACGCTTAGTCCCAGCTACTTGGGAGGCTGAGGCAAGGGATTGCTTGGGTCCAGGGAGTTTGAAGCTGCAGTGAGTTATGATGGTGCCCTGCACCCCAGCCCGTGGGACAGAGACCTTATTTCTAAAAATAAATTTTTAAAAAGCGATGTGGCCACGTGACTGCTATATTTCACTACCGAAGAGATCCTCTCAGGCCGTCGGCAGAAATACCATGAAAGCTCTGAAATGGATGCATGAGAAGCCACAAACCTTCTCTGCAGCATGAATGAGGGCGGTGGTCCCGTTCTTCTGCCGACCGTTCACTTTTGCGCCTTTCGTGATGAGGAGTCGCAGGAGGTCATCCTGCCCTCCCGCAGCAGCAAGCATCACCAGTGTCATCCCACTGGAATCCTGTGTTGGTTTTGTTAAGTAAAAAACTTGTTAATCTTTAGTCAGAACAATTTCAGAACCAATCTCTTCACTTGAGATGTTTCAATGTGAAATCACTAATGGGCAATAATTTAAGCATCTACTTAGGATTCTCGCTAAAATATCCCAACCATCAGAAACTAGTAGCTTTTAGAATATTTTTCACATGTAAATGCTTGTATAAAATTTTACAGCTTTCCTCTACAGGCCCACCTCGTTTCACTGAGCTTTGCTTTACTGCACTTCACAGGGACTTTGTTTTTTACAAATTGAAGGTTTGTGGCAACCCTGCCACAAGCAAGTTTACTCACACCATTACTCCCACGGCATGTGCTCATTTTGTGTCGTTCTGTCGGCATTCTTTAGCAGTAGAGTATTTGTAAATTAAGATATATAGTTTTGTTTTTTTTTTTAAAGATGTAATGCTCTTCACACTTAGACTATAGTATAATGTAAACCTAACTTTTATATGCACCAGGAAACCAAAAATTTGTGTGACTCCCTTTATTGCAAGAGTCTGGAACCAAACTCACAATATCTCCAAGGAATGCTTGAATTTTTTTGTTGGTGTTGTTTTTCCTTCTTTCTTTTTTATTGAGACAGGATGTTGCTGTGTTGTCCAGGCTGGTCTCAAACTCCTGGGCTTAAGCACTCCTCCTGCCTCAGCCTCGGGTAGCTGGGATTACAGGTGCGCACCACCATGCCCAGCTCTCATTTTTGTATCTTTTTTGTTTTTATTTTGTGTATTAAATCCTAAAGGCACATAAAACGCTTGCACCATATAAAATGAAGTGAATTTTTGGGGGGCATTATGATCAAATTTTCTACCTAAAAAATCCAAAAGAAGTAACTTGAAAACTATCAGCGTAAGAGAATTTCGTTAAGTGACTGCAGACACACACATGGATGTATACAAAGACATTCACAGCTTTACCACAGGCAAGCAATAACCAGTTAGGAAACAAAATGTAAATAAAAAAAGACTCTAATGACCATAATATTATAAAACATATAGGCAGACATCTATAAGAAATGTGCAATGTCTACATGAATGAAAAAACCCACAGAACTTTGCTTAAGTGTATAAATGAAGAGCTGAGTGAATGTAGAATTACCATGTTCCCAGATAGAAGATGCAAAATGCAAATACAAATGTCAGTTCTCTGTCAATCTATATATTTCATGCCATTTTAATCAAAATCCCATTAATTTTTTGAATTGTAATCCCAAGGGATGAAACCTAAAAAATCCACAGCTAAGCTAAAAAATGAAAGAAAAAAATATAAAGATATTTTCTAAGCAAGACAAGATAACCAAAAGCCATAAATGTAAAAGATCCACAGATATGATTGCCTAAAAATGAAAATCTTCAAGCAATTCAAGACTCAAACACAAAACCTAAAATCTAGGGAGAAAGGGTCAATATGCTTCCATTAAAAAATCCATATGTATCAGTAAGAAAAATCCACAGCTACAACAGAGAAATGGACAGTTGTTGTAAACAAGGCAACCATCAAAGAAACACAGATGGCCACGGGAAAATGGTCTTATTCTACACTCTCAAAGTGGCAAAGGGTAACCAACATACAAAACAGGTAGACCATAACCAAACCAAACCATCACTTTTAAGGGGGAGGAATTAAAGGGACTGTAACTGTATATTTAGAGGATTCTACAATTTTTTAATTTTACAAAGTGAAAGTGCATCACCTTTTTTTTTTTGAGACAGAGTCTTGCTCTGTCACCCAGGCTGGAGCGCAGTGGCACGATCTTGGCTTACCACAGCCTTGACCTCCCAGGCTCAGGTGATCCTCCCACCTCAGCCAGCCAAGTAGCTGGGACTACAGGTGTACACCACCATGTCCAGCTAGTTTTTTCTAGAGCTGCGGTTTCACCATGGAGCCCAAGCAGGTCTCAAATTCCTAAGTTCAAGCAATCCTCCTGCCTCGGCCTCCCAAAGTGCTGGGATTACAGGTGTGTGCCACCATGCCCAGCTTTTTTGTAATTAAAATAAATGAAAACTTAAATTGAATTCTTTCAAGATTTACTTTCCATTTTCCTTTCACGAGATTTTTAAAAGACATATTACCTCTTGGTCCAGGTTATATTCTTCATTTGAATTAAGTGCAACTTTTACAGTAATATAATCCCCATTTTTCACAGCATCCCTTAACACATCTAAAATGAAAGAAAAGTGAAGTTAGCCTTTATATATCTAGATTTGTGAAAGGAATTTCAATATTTCCAAAACTACTCACTACTTGGAATTGCATCTGCTGCAGCAAAATTCTCATCTTCCCCATCAAGGTGCTTTTGGAAATCTTCTAACTTCATCCATTCCAACTGCAGGTCCATACCCAAACTCAGAATCTGCTGCCTGCCATCTGGAACACACAAAGGCCTTGTTAACATACATTTATATGAAGTATAAAAAACCTACGATGTTGTTTATTAAATTTGTGGTGTCTTAACCAAAGCTTTATGTATACTTTTAACGTAAGTCATTGTATAATGGGGTCTTTTAATTGATAAAATCCCCAATTTTCTTTGGGAAGTAATATGAACTATCCACATTTAGAAGCCACGGTGCTGTGAACGCTTAAAGATAAATAGGTGGCTGGGTGCGGTGGCTCACGCCTGTAATCCCAGTACTTTGGGAGGCTGAGGTGGGTGGATCACCGGGTCAGAGATTGAGATCATTCTAGCTAACACGGTGAAACCCCGTCTCTATTAAAAATACAAAAAATTAGCTGGGTGTGGTGGCACGTGCCTGTAATCCCAGCTACTCAGGAGGCTGAGGCAGGAGAATCACTTGAATCCAGGAGGCAGAGGTTGCAGTGAGCTGAGATCATGCCCTGCACTCCAGCCTGGGTGACAGAGCAAGACTCTGTCTCACAAATAAATAAGTAACCTGTCATTGTAAAATAGCAAAGGAGGAATTTTAAGACTCAGTAGCTCAAAGGAAGGAGAAATCAGGGATCCGGTAAGAGGAAATGCAATTCTAATGTGACTTTTCTCCCTTCCACCATTCTTCTTGGACATACACTGCTTCCAACCATGTACAGATAAAGCCATTCTCAGTGTGTGAGCTAATCCAGCACGTAAGTCAAAGGCACTGCTTGTGGATCCTTCCAGACTCACTCAGGCACCTATGCCTGGAAGCCTCCTGCTCCCACAGTGCCCTGGCTCACACCCAACCCACTGCGAGGTACTGCTAGAGTTCTCCCCGATGGGACCCACAGGTGTGGGAACACTGAGGACGCATGTGTTCGGCCTTTATCACCACTGCAATCGATCAGACTTCAGTGCAGCTTATCTGGGAGTAATTCACAATGGTTATGTGCTCTTTCTACAAATGAAAAACAGAAATACTTGATGGTAAGAGTTAAAGGATTTTCACCGGAATCCAATTCCTCAATCTACATAGATGTTAGGCAGTTGGCCCAGCCACAGATATAGTTTGTAAAACACATGCAATAACTGAGTAACTTTTTCCAAAGCCCTCAACTGAAACTAACACTTCTGCTAATTCTGAGAGCTGACAGCAGAGAAACAGCACAGCCTCTGGGCTGTCCATCCTGCAGCATCCCAGCTCTATCCGCAACAGTAACAGTGAAAGCCACTAGCAATCATGACACGTTAACTTGTTTACATGAATGGATCGATTTCCTCCATACACAATAATCTGTAAGGGGAGACGTGTTACAGATGAGAGAAGCTGGAAAGGCTCCAGGGTTTGCTCAGAGACACACCAGAGAGTAGCAGAGCTGGTCTTCTTACTCAGGTGTCTGAGTCCTCCGTGGAGCCCCCACCCGGTAAGCCCCATAACCCATCCCGCCACCAAGGAAGCAGCATGGAAAGACTGGAAGCAGTGTTCTTAGGTCTTTATGAACTGAGAGAATACCACCGAACTCACAGGGCTGCTGTAAGAACGCACAGCATCCCTAGACCAGAACCATTGGAAAGGCTGAGCTGCAGCTCAGACTGTGGTCTCTATCAAAGCAAACTGGTTCAAAACCTATGTTCATTCCTGACAAGTGCTGGGCCTTGCCTCTGAACCTGATAGGCTTAATTTTCTCTTTATTTTTAATAAGAAACTCGATATACATATATGAAAGAATGCATGCCATGAAACAATCAAGTGTGCTCTGTGGTCCTAAGAACTGCCCAGGGGCACACACCTGTGCCTACCACAGCTGGCCCCTGTGTGGTGTCATTTACATCTGCAGTCTATGTCTCTCATGCTCTTCTTCAAAATAGCTTTGCCATAAATACACATATCCCTAAGAAATACATAGTTGGTTTTGCTTGCTAATGAGCTTTAGACAAATTGCCGGAGTTCTTTATGCTCTGGGTAGTGATCCTTTGTCTTTTCACTCTTTCTTATGGTAGCTTTGACAAATGGAACTATATTGTTCAGTCAATTTTATCATTCTGTTCCTTTATGGAACATTTAGTGTCTTAAGAAATCTTTCCCTACACCCAAGGTCGTAAAGATAGTATCCTTAATCTCTAAATACCTAGAATCTAGATACCCTCCGAATAGGGCCCACTCCACCAGGATTTGACTCTCACGTATGGGCTTTTGCTACATGAATAACCATCTGTTCTGACACCAGTGAGAAGAGTCATCCTCCCTACAGGGACCGCGATGCCCCATCCTCTGTCCTTTATCAGAGCTGCACCGCCTGACTGAGGTCTCTGCCGTGCTCGCTAGTTCACCTCCTTCCTGTGCCAAGTAAATGCTGTACTGATTGCTAGTTTGATATAGCAGGTTTTGACTGTTTATGGGGACAGCTGGCTCTGGCTTTTCTTGAATCTTCATATAAACCGCAGAAACAGCATTTGTAAATTCCATGAAAAACTGTGTTGACATTTTGATTAGAACTGCAGTGATGCTATAGACCAGTTTGGAGAAAATGACACATTTCTAAAATTGTTTTCCTTTTTTTTTTTTTCTCTAAGACAGAGTCTCACTCCGTCACTCAGGCTGGAGTGCAGTGGCGCAATCTCGGCTCACAGCAACCTCCACATTCCGGGTTCAAGTGATTTCTGTGCCTCAGCCCCCTGACTAGCTGAAATTGCATGAGCGTGCTACCACACCTGGTTAATTTTTGTATTTTTTAGTAGAGATGGGGTTTCAACATGTTAGCCAGGCTGGTCTCGAACTCCTGACCTCAAATGATCTGCCTGCCATGGCCTTCCAAACTGCTAGGATTACAGGCATAAGGAACTGCACCTGGTCCCTAAAATCGTTTTCTAATAAAAATGCATATATACATTTTAGTAACTTTTAAGCAATCAAGAAATCTTTAAAATTTTCTTCGTACAGGCTTTTTTTTTTTTTTTTGAGACGTAGTTTCACTCTTGTTGCCTAGGCTGGAGTGCAATGCCACAATCTTAGCTCCCAGCAACCTCTGCCTCTTGGGTTCAAGCAATTCTCCTGCCTCAGCCTCCCATGTAGCTGGGATTACAGGCCTGCCACCATGCCTGGCTAATTTTGTGTTTTTAGTAGAGACGGGGATTCTCTACGTTGGTCAGGCTGGTCTTGAACTCCTGACCTCAAGTGATCCACCCTGCCTTGCTGGGGTTACAGGCATGAGCCACTGCACTGGTCCTTTTTTTTTTTTTGGAGACCGTGTTTTGCTCTATTGCCCAGGCTGGAGTGCAGTGGCACTATCTCGGCTCACTGCAACCTCCACTTCCCAGGTTCAAGCAATTCTCCTGCCTCAGCCTCCCGAGTAGCTGGGACCACAGCCGTGTGCCACCACAACCAGCTAATTTTTGCATTTTTAGTAGAGATGGGGGTTTCACCAGATTGGCCAGGCTGGTCTCAAACTCCTGACCTCAAGTGATCCACCCACCTCAGCCTCCCATGATTACAGGTGTGAGCCACCGTGCCTGGCCCATCATTTATGAACAATATTCTAAGCAATTTTTTAAATGTGTTGCTATTGAAAACCGTATCTTTTTAAAATATACTATTTATGTAGAAATGTATATAGGTTTAAAAAATAAAATTGGCTTTTATCACTGATCTTATATCCACTCACCTTGCTAAATTTTTAATACTTCTAATAATTTGTAGATTCTTCTGGGTTTTCCATATGAATCTGATAATAACAGATTATTATTATTTTCTTTTTTTGATAAGAGTCTTGCTCTGTCATCCAGGCTGAAGTTCAGTGGCGTGATTTTAACTCACTACAACCTATGCATCCTGGGCTCAAATGATCCTCCCACCTTAGCTTCCTGAATAGCTGGGACTACAGGTGGGTGCCATCCTGCCTGGTTAATTTTTGTCTTTTTTGGTTTTTTGAGATGGAGTTTCCCTCTTGTTGCCCAGGCTGGAGTGCAATGGTGTGATCTCAGCTTACCGCAACCTCTGCCTCCCGGGTTCAAGTGATCTTCCTGTCTCAGCCTCCTGAGAAGCTGGGGTTACAGGCGTGCACCACCATGCTTGGCTACTTTTGTATATTTTTGTAAAGATGAGGTTTCACCATGTTGCTCAGGCTGGTCTCAGAACTTCTGAGCTCAAGTGATCTGCTTGGCCTGTCAAAGTGCTGGGATTACAGGTGTGAGCCACCTTGCCTGGCTGACAGCTTTTCCCCCTTCCTTTCCAATGCCTATGCCTTTTATATTTCTTTGCCTTACTGTACTGAGTAGACCTTAGTATAACGCTGAATAAAAGTGATGACAGAGGCATCCTTGTATTATTCCTGATTTAAAATCAATGTTTCTGGTTAGTCATGGTGGCTCATGCCTGTAGGAGGCTGGGGCAAGTGGATCACTTGAACCCAGGAGTTAAAGACCAGCCTGGGCAACATGGTGAAACCGGTCTCCATAAAAAATCACATCAAATCAATGTTTCTAATGTTTTACCATTACAACTCATGCTGCTAAAGGGTTTGTTGTCGTTGCTGGTTTTTTAAAGACAGGGTCTCACTCCTGTCATCCAGGCTGGAATATAGTGGTGTTATCATGGCTCACTACATCCTTGAACTTTTGGGCTCAAGTGATCCTCTGTCTCAGCCACCCAAGTAGCTAAGATTACACCTGGCTAATGTATAAATTTTTTGTACAGACAGGGTCTTGTTTTCCCAGGCTAGTCTTGAACTCCCACTTCAGCCTCCCAAAGTGCTGGGATTAGAAGAGTGAGCCACCACGCCTGGCTTACGTTGCTAAAGGTTTAATGCTCTTTATCAATCGAGAAAGCTCCCTTTATTCATAATTTGTTAGGTTTTATTTACTTTTTAATCAAGAATGCCATTAAATCAATTTCTCCTTTACAATTCGTAGGAAAAACCCAATGTGATGATTTTTTTTTTTTTTAAAACAGGGCCAGATTAAATTTGCTAATATTTTGTGGGGGACTTTTGCATGTGACTTCATTTAGTGAGTTTGGCCTGTCATTTTCCTTTCTAAGTTTTATTGTCTGGTTTTGGTACTGAATTTATAATGGTCTCCCAGAATGAGTTAGTGTTAGCATTCTTTGTCTATTTTTAGAACTACTTTTATGAATGAGTTAGTGTTAGCATTCTTTGTCTATTTTTAGAACTACTTTTATAAGTTTGGTTGCGTTTGGTTTGAGAAAACCATCTGGGCTTGGTGTTAAATTTATGAAGCTGTTTTAATTATTATTTCACATTCTTTAACAGTTGTGACTATTCAGTGTTTTTTGGATCAGTTTCATTAAATTATTTTTTCCCTAGGAATTTTCCCATGTCATTTAGTTTTCAAATCTCTTTTGAAATTTTAGAGATGAGGTCTGGCCATGTTGTCCAGGATGGAGTGCAGTGGCTGTCCACAGGTATAATCTTAGTGAACTATAGCCTTGAACTCCTGGGCTTAACTGATCCTCCTGCCTTGCCTCCTGAGTAGCTGCAATTACAGGCACACACCACCACACCTAGGCAGTTTTTTTCTTTTTTGGAGACCAAGTCTTGCTCTGTCACTCAGCCTGGAGTGCAGTGGCGCAATCTCAGCTCACTACGACCTCCACCTCCCAGGTTCAAACAATTGTCCTGCCTCACCCTCCCAAGTAGCTGGGACTACTGTACTGGTGCACGCCACCACACTTTAAGTCTTTGTATTTTAGTGGAGACGGGGTTTCACTGTTGTTGCTCAGGATGGTCTCAAACTTCTGAGCTCAGGCAATCCACCTGCCTCAACCTCCCAAAGTGCTGGGATTACAGACGTAAGCCACCGTGCCCAGGTGCCTAGCCAGCTTTCATATTTATTAGTAAGAAATTGCTCATAGAATTCTTTTTTTTTTTTTGAGACAGTGTCTCACTTTGTAGCCCAGGACGGAGTGCAGTGGTGTGATCTCGGCTCATTGCAACCTCCGCCCCCTCCCAGGTCCCGGTTCAAGCAAGTTTCCTGCCTCAGCCTCCTGAGTAGCTGGAATTACAGGCATGTGCAACCATGCCCAGCTAATTTTGTATTTTTAGTAAAGATGGAGTTTCACTATATCAGCCAGGCTGTTCTTGGAACTCCTGACCTCATGATCCATCTACCTTGGCCTCCCAAAGTGCTGGGATTACAGGCATGAGCCACTGCACCTGGCGCTCACAGAATTCCTTCATCTTTTTAATCTGTACACAACCTGTAATCATGTCTCTTTTTTTTTTTTTTTGGCAATGAAGTCTCGCTGTGTCACCTAGGCTGGAGTGTGGTGGCACGATCTTGGCTCACTGCAATCTCTGCCTCCGGGGTTCAAGCAATTCTCCTGCCTCAGCCTCCCGAGCAGCTGGGACTATAGGCACACACCACCATGCCTGGCTAAATCCTGTCCCTTTTTCATGTGTTTCTTTTGTTCTCAACAAACTGTGTCAGAGGCTTGCTTATTTTACAGCAAAGCCAGGAATCCACTTCTGGGTTTACTGATGTTCCCCCTACTGTATCTGTTCCTTTCTGGCTGGTATCTCAACAGCAGTGCTAATTGGCATCTGCCCTCTGGGCGACCGACCTCTTCCTTCTTGCCCGCTGGTACTAGAAATTACCCTAATTTCCTGCAAGCTCAGCAATGCATCCAAAAGCACATTTTACCTAGGTATCCAGGATATGGTCGTTTTGTAGTAACAGGGTTTCCCAGACAATCTAGTCTGTCATATATTCTCAATTTCTCAATTCTCTCCAACTGTTTCTCAAGATTCACAAATTATAAAAAGTTTTATTAGACTAGCCTTTCTCATTTATTAGGTCCTAGTTATAAACATACATGTACACTTTTTAGTACTCCTTCCCATCACTACTGTAGTCTGTATTCTTCTTCTCGACCAATTCCAATGTCCTCAGGACACCATTTACAATATAAACTTATTTCATGTTATTTGCTGCAACGTTAAAAGGGCAAAATACAAATAAGTTAGTATTTGATAATTTTCTGAAAGAAATTTATTAAATAGTAAGATATAAAATGAGGCTGCCAGGTAAGAATAGGTAAGGTAGAAAATCAGAAATATTTTAGTTTCTATACGTGCTGAGAACATAGGAACTCAGAAAAATTGTTTGATCCATTGAGAAGTCACAGAATGACCCAAGTCTTCACTATAAAATGTTTTTATTATTTATTCAGGAGATCCAAATAAAGAGTTTATTTATCCAAATAAACTCTTCTATTCCATTACTTTTTTTTTATCTTGAAAGCAAAAATACAGAGAGAGAAAAGTACAATAAAATATTATGGTGCAGCACTTCCCTGAAAAATTGATTCCAGAACGATTCCAAACTCACCCGATTTCTCATCTGCTTGGCACGCACTGTCTAAAACATCCTGATCACCTTCCGCAGCAATGTATGCCCAAGTATCCGTTTCGTCTCTGGTGTTTCTCCTTTCTTTAAGTGACTGTTTGTTTTCCTTGGTTTTGTGATCGTCTATGGTTTTAAAATCCAGTGGCATTTCTTCTCTTTTTCGATTATTCTCAGAAACATCATTTTTTTCTTCTGGTGTTAATTTCAACAAATCAAATGCACTTCTTATTTCCTTAAGTGCTAATGAAAAAATTAAAATTGATAGTTAAGTATGAGTCACAAATTTCTGTTACACTCAAAAGAAAATCTAAGTTAGTGTTAAACCAAGAAGATATTTTCTTAATTTTTACTAACCTCTACCTTGCTTATAAAGCCTGGTCTGATTTAACTATCAAAGGCACAAAATCATTTCAACTGGTCTTTCTACTAGTCACTCAATATTCAGAAATGATGTCCAGTGTGAATGGCTATTAAGCAGATGCTGTGAACTACTCAACTCCTGTTGTGACAAAGGCCTACCGAAGACAGTGAGCCTAAGAGTGATCCAAGTCTCACCAGCGTCTTTCTCACTGCTAAAGACACCAGACTGTCTAATAGCTGGATCCTGAAGCTTGTACAAAAATGGTTTCTGGTGGCAAGTGAGGGAAATAGCAGGGTGCCAGAGCATTGCCTGTGTACCTGGTAAAACTGTACCTGATGCTACTAGCTTTTAACTAAAGAAGAAAGTGGGAAAGAAAACTGGCAGGTACTAGAACTGATATAAGAAATAACTCCCGAGATAAATTTTAGGGACAGTGATCCAAGATGGCCGAATCGGAACAGCTCAGGAGTGTAGTTCTCAGCGAGAACAATGCAGAGGGTGAGTGATCACCAATTTCCAAACGAGTTATTACTGCCCACAGACCAGGAGATTCCCAGGCTGAAAAGCACCAAGAGTTTCCTGCATGGCTGTTTCAGCTAGCACAGTGGGTCTCTGCACAAAAACTCACACAAAGCTGGGTGGCCATTTCAATTGGCGCCTGGAATGCCTAGGAGACAGAGCCACCCATTCAACTGAAAAAAAGGGGGCTGAAACAGGGAGCCAGGTGATCTGGCTCAGCGGGTCCTACCCCCACAAAGACCAGCAATCTGAAACACTCTGGATTGAGAGTTTTGCAGAGCAAATGTAGCTGGACCCGGGACAGTCCAGCTCTGTCGGGGGAAGGGCGTCATACGCTACTACCGAGGCAGTCCCTCATTACCGAGGCAATCTGCCATTACCGAGGCAGTTCTAACTATACCTCTATAAACAAAACCACAAGGAAGTTCACACAGCAGCTGGACAGAGTCCACAGCAGCTCAGCAACGCCTCTGCTCGCAGACTGTGACTAGGCTATCCCCTCACTGGGCAGGGCATCTCTGAAAAAAGGTGGTTGCATGTCAGGAACTTATAAATAAAGCCCCACCTTCTCAGGACAGAGCACCTGGGAAAAAAGGCGGTTATGAGTTCCACTGCAGCAGACTTAAACGTACCTGCCCAGCAGCTCTGAACAAAACAACAGAGCTCACGGCTCAGCACTTGAGCTCCTATAAGGGTCAGACTGTCTCCTCAAGCAGCTCCCTGATCCCCGTATACCCAAGGAGACACCTCATAAAGGAGAGCTCAGGCTGACATCTGGCGGGTATCCTTCTGGGATGAAGATAACAGAAGAAGAAACTGGCCGAAACCCTTACTGTTCTGCAGCCGCCACAGGTGATCCCCAGGCAAACAGGGTCTGGAGTTGACCTCCAGCAGTCCTACAGCAGAAGGGCCTGACTGTTAGAAGGAAAACTAAAAAACAGAAAGAAATAACTTCATTATCAACAAAAAGGGCGTCCATCTGAAAGTCACCAATTACAAAGACCACAGGTAGCTAAATCCCCAAAGATGGGAAGAAACCAGCGCAAAAAGGATGAAAACACCCAAAACCAGAACAACTCTCCTCCAAGGGATCACAACTCCTCATCAGCAAGGGAACAAAGCTGGATCGAGAATGAGTCTGATGAATTGACAGAAACAGGCTTCAGAGGGTGCATAATAACAAACTTCTCTGAGCTAAAAGAACATGTTCTAACCCAATGCAAAAGAAACTAAGAACTTTGAAAAAAGGTTTGATGAAATGTTAATGAGAATAAACAGCTTAGAGAAGAATATAAATGACCTGATGGAGCTGAAAAACACAACATGAGAACTTTGAGAAGAACACACAAGTTTAAATAGCCGAATCGACCAAGCAGAAGAAAGGATATCAGAGATTGAAGATCAACTCAATGAAATAAAATAAGAAAGCAAGATTAGAGAAGAGTGAAAAGAAATGAACAAAGCCTCCAAGAAATATGGGATTATGTGAAAAGACCTAATCGACGTTTGACAGGTGTACCTGAATGTGATGGAAAGAATGAATCCAAGCTGGAAAACACTCTTCAGGATATTATCCAGGAAAACTTCCCCAACCTAGAAGGCAGGCCAATATTGAAGTCCAGGAAATACAGAGAACACTACAAAGATATTCCTCAAGAAGAGCAACCCCAAGGCACATAATCGTCAGATTCACCAGGGTTGAAATGAAGGAAAAAATGCTAAGGGCATCCAGAGGGAAAGGCCTGGTTACCCACAAAGGGAAGCCCATCAGACTCATGGCAGATCTCTCAGCAGAAACCCTACAAGCCAGAAGAGAGTGGGGGCCAATATTCAACATCTTTAAAGAAAAGAACTTTCAACCTAGAATTTCAAATCCAGCCAAACTAGGTTTCATAAGTGAAGGAGAAATAAAATCCTTTACAAACAAGCAATTGCTGAGAGATTTCGTCACCACCAGGCCTGCCTTACAAGAGTTCCTGAAAGAAGCACTAAACATAGAAAGGAACAACCAGTACCAGCCACTCCAAAAATGTACCAAATGGTAAACAGCATCGACACAATGAAGAAACTGTGTCAACTAATGGGCAAAACAACCAGCTAGCAACAAAATGGCAGGATCAAATTCACACATAACAATATTAACCTTAAATGTAAATAGGCTAAATGCCTCAATCAAAAGACACAGACTAGCGAATTGGATAAAAAGTCAGAACCCACTGGCGTGCTGTATCCAGGAAACCCATCTCATATGCAAGGACACATATAGGCTCAAAATAAAGGGATGGAGGAAGATATACCAAGCAAATGGAGAGCAAAAAAAAGTACGAGTTGCAATCCTAGTCTCTGATAAAATAGATATTAAACCAACAAAGTTCAAAAGAGATGAAGAAGGGCATTACATAATGGTAAAAGGATCAATGCAACAAGAAGAGCTAATGATACTAAATATATACGCACCCAATACAGGAGCACCCAGATACATAAAGCAAGTTCTTAACCTACAAAGAGACTTAGATTCTCACACAATAATAGTGGGAGACTTTAACACTCCACTGTCAATATTAGACAGATCAACCAGACAAAAAATTAACAAGGATATCCAGAACTTGAACTCAGACCAAGCAAACCTAAAAGACATCTACAGAACTCTCCACCCCCAATCTATAGAATATAAATTATTCTCAGCACCACATCACACTTACTCGAAAACTGACCACATAATTGGAAGTAAATAACTCCTCAGCAAATGCAAAAGAATGGAAATCATAACAAACAGTGACCACAGTGCAATCAAATTAGAATTCAGGGTTAAGAAACTAACTCAGAACCACACAGCTTCATGGAAACTGAACAGCTGGCTCTTGAATGCTGACTGGATAAACAATGAAATGAAGGCAGAAATAAAGTTGTTCTTCAAAACCAACGAAAATGAAGATACAACGTATCAGAATCTCTGGGGCACATTTAAAGCAATGTCTAGAGGAAAATTTATGGCAATAAATGCCCAAATGAGAAGCAAGGAAAGATCTAACATCAACACCCTATCATCAAAATTGAAAGAGCTAGAGGAGCAAGATCAAAAAAACTTAAGAGCTAGCAGAAGACAAGAAATAACTAAGATCAGAGCAAAACTGAAGGAGATAGAGACACAAAAAAACCCTTCAAAAAAATCAATAAATCCAGGAGCTGGTTTTTGGAAAAGATCAACAAAATAGAGCACTAGCCAGATTAATAAAAAAGAAAAGAGAGAATAATCAAATAGATGCAATAAAAAATGATAAAGGGGATATCACCACCAATTCCACAGAAATACAAACTACCATAATAGATTACTACAAACAACTCTATGCACATAAACCAGTAAACTTGGAAGAAATGGATAAATTCCTGGACACTTGCACCTTCCTAAGCCTAAACCAGGAAGAAGTTGAAACCCTGAATAGACCAATAACAAGGGCTGAAATTGAGGCAGCAATTAATAGCCTACCAATCAAAAAAAAAAAAAAAAAAAAAAAAAAGCTCTGGTCCAGATGAGTTGACAGCCAAATTCTACTAGACATACAAAGAGGAGTTGGTACCACTCCTTCTGAAACTATTCCAAACAATACAAAAGAGGGAATCCTTCCCAAATCATTTTATGAGATCAATATCATCCTGATACCAAAACCCAGCAGAGACTCAACAAAAAAAGAAAACTTCAGACCAATATCCATTATGAACATAGATGCAAAAATCTTCAATAAAATACTGACAAACTGAATGCAACAGCACATCAAAAAGCTTACCCATCACAATCAAGTAGGCCTCATCCTGGGGATGGCAAGGCTGGTTCAACATACCCAAGTCTATAAACGTAATCCACCACATAAACAGAACCAAAGACAAAAACCACATGATTATCTCAACAGATGCAGAGAAGGCCTTTGACAAAATTCAACAGCGCTTTATGCTAAACACTCTCAATAAACTAGGTATCAACGGAATGTATCACAAAATAATAAAAGCTATTTATGACAAACCCACAGCCAATATCATACTGAAAGGGCAAAAATTGGAAGCATTCCCTTTGAAATCTGGCACTAGACAAGGATGCCCTCTCACTACTATTCAACACAGTATTGGAAGTTTTAGCCAGAGCAATCAGGCAAGAAAAAGAAGTAAAGGATATTCAATTAGGAAAGAAGGAAGTCAAATTGTCTATATTTGCTGATGACTTAATTGTATATTTAGAAGACCCCAACGTCTCAGCCTAAAACCTCCTGAAACTGATAAGCAACTTCAGCAAAGTCTCAGGATCAAAATCAATGTGCAGAAATCACAAGCATTCCTATACACCAATAACAGACAGACAGATCAAGAGCGAACTCCCATTCACAATTGCTACAATGAGAATAAAATACCTAGGAATACATCTAACAAAGGATGTAAAGGACCTCCTCAAGGAGAACTACAAACCACTGTTCAAGGAAATAAGAGAGGACACAAACAGATGGAAAAATATTCCATGCTCATGGTTAGGAAGAATCAATATTGTGAAAATGGCCACAGTGCCCAAAGTAATTTATAGATTCAATGCTATCCCCATCAAGCTACCTATAACCCTCTTCACAGAACTGGAAAAAACCACCTTAAACTTCATATGGAACCAAAAGAGAGCCCACATAGCCAAGACAATCCTAAACAAAAAGAACAAAGCTGGCCAGGCGCGGTGGCTCAAGCCTGTAATCCCAGCACTGTGGGAGGCCAAGGCGGGTGGATCACGAGGTCAAGAGATCGAGACCATCCTGGTCAACATGGTGAAATCCTGTCTCTACTAAAAATACAAAAAATTAGCTGGGCATGGTGGCGTGTGCCTGTAATCCCAGCGACTCAGGAGGCTGGGGCAGGAGAATTGCCTGAACCCGGGAGGCGGAGGTTGCGGTGAGCTGAGATCGCGCCATTGCACTCCAGCCTGGGTAACAAGAGCGAAACTCCGTCTCAAAAAAAAAAAAAAAAAAAAAAAAAAAAAAAAAAAAAAGAACAAAGCTGGAGTCCTCTCTTATTTCCTTGAGCAGTGGTTTGTGTTCTCCTTGAAGAGATCCTTTACATCCTTTGTTAGTTGTATTCCTAGGCATTTTATTCTCTTTGTAGCAATTGTGAATGGCAGTTCGTTCTTGATTTGGCTCTCTTTAAGTCTGTTATTGGTATATAGGAATGCTTGTGATTTCCGCACATTGATTTTGTATCCTGAGACTGCTGAAGTTGCTTATCAGTTTCAGGAGATTTGGGGCTGAGACAATGGAGTCTTCTACCTGACTTCAAGCTATACTACAAGGCTACAGTAATCAAAACAGCATGGTACTGGTACCAAAACAGAGATACAGACCAATGGAACAGAACAGAGGCCTCAGAGGCAACGCCACACATCTACAACCATCTGATCTTTGACAAATCTGACAAAAACAACCAATGGGGAAAGGATTCCCTGTTGAATAAATGTTGTTGGGAAAACTGGCTAGCCATATGCAGAAAGCAGAAACTGGACCCCTTTCTGACACCTTAAACTAACATTAACTCCAGATGGATTAATGACTTAAAAGAACTAACACCATAAAAACCCTAGAAGAAAACCTAGGCAAAACCATTCAGGACGCAGGCATAGGAAGGACTTCATGACTAAAACACAAAAACATTGGCAACAAAAGCCAAAATAGACAAATGGGATCTAATTAAACTCCAGAGCATCTGTATAGCAAAAGAAACAATCATTAGAGTGAACCAGCAACCAACAGACTGGGAAAACATTTTTGCAATCTACCCATCTGACAAAGGGCTAATATCCAGAATCTACAAAGAACTAAAATAGATTTACAAGAAAAAAAACCAATCCATTCAAAAGTGGGCAAAGGACACGAACAGACACTTTTCAAAAGAAGACACATATGAGGCCAACAAACATATGAAAAAATACTCATCACTGGTCATTAGAGAAAGGCAAATCAAAACCACATTGACATACCATCTCACACCAGTTAGAATGGTGATTATTAAAGAATCTGGAGACAATTATTGAGAGGATGTGGAGAAATAGGAACACTTCTACACTGTTGGTGGGAGTGAAAATTAGTGTAGAATTGGTGGGAGTGTAACTTCAACCATTGTGGAAGACAGTGTGGTGATTCCTCAAGGACCTAGAAATAGAATCCATTTGACCCAGCAATCCCATTACTGGGTATATATCCAAAGGATTATAAATTGTTCTATTATAAAGACGCATGCACACATATGTTCATTGCAGCACTGTTTACACTAGCAAAGACCTGGAACCAAGCCAAATGCCCATCGATGATGGACTGGACAGGGAAAATGTGGCACATATACACCATGGAATACTACGCAGCCATAAAAAACAAGTTTGTGTCCTTTGTAGGGACATGAATGACCCTGGAAACCATCATTCTCAGCAAACTGACACAAAAACAGAAAATCAAACACCGCATGTTCTCACTCATACATGGTTGTTGAACAATGAGAATACATGGACACAGGGAGGGAAGCATCACACACTAGGGTTTGTTTGGGGGGAATAGGGGAGGGACAGTGGGGGTAGGAAGGTTGGGGAGGGATAACATGGGGAGAAATGCCAGATAGAGATGACGGGGAGATGGAGGCAGCAAACCACATTGCCATGTATGTACCTATGCAACAACCCTACATGTTCTGCACATGTATCTTAGAACCTAAAGGGCAATTAAAAAAAAAATAACCCCCAAAAGAAGATAATTAGGATGAATTCCATTATAAATTCTGGGTATACAGCAGACGAGTTTTATTATCAGGGAATGTTGAAAACTGGACTCTAGTGAGGACCTCTATGAATGGAACAAACAGTAGTTCCATTTAAGACTATATGTTCACAGTAAAAATATACCTGAAACTGACATACTAGATACTAGGAGGAAAAAACGTTAACAAGGCTAGGTCCAATTTTGCAGTATTTTGAACCTCTAATCATTCTTTGAAGACTAGAAGGCATTTACTATTTTTGTTTTGCTTTGAATGATAGTCTTAAAGCCACTTTATGTGTAACCCACTGAAACAGCCACTGCTCCTGCCTAGCTTCATTCACCTGCTTCTACTGCCAACCCCAGCGTAGGCTTAGAAAAAAATTACTTTTAGTATTACCTCAGTTACATACAGCTTTCAGGAAAAAAAACCCAGAGAAAATCATCCATCTCTTAGAACCATTGTTTGCAAGAAAACATGTGTTCCAAGAACTTTTGCTACAGAAACTAAATATTTATCTGCTAGGGCTTATTCAAACACTGTAATGGCGTGGTTTTTTTTGTTGTTTGTTTAAGAAATATAAAGTATCTGCTACAATATTGATATGTATTATGGATTCTCTATTATGGTCTATCTTGAAGTGATCCAAAATGTATATTTAATGTATTTATACAAATAACACAGAGTTACATATAATGAATATAATAAACAAAAAGTGTTTTTCAAATTTAGCATCTGCCATAAAAAAACATATTTATTTTTCTGCCATAACTAATTTCCTGTCTCAGTAATTCTAATCTGATCCCTCATCATATTAAAAAGAAGGAAAAACAAGGTGAAAAGAAGGAAAAAAATTATATAAACTTTTATATAATAAACTTAGGTAACTTGTTAATTATTTGTACAATACATAGCAATGTAAATGGCAAAACATTAATATTTACACTCACTCTTTAATCCTTTCAGCTCTTTTCGCCCTTTTTCTTCCTTGTCGGAATCATGCCTTTTCTGATATTTTTCTTTGGGTTCATTTTTTTTGGTCTCTTTGTCCTGAAAATGACATGATATCCAAAACAAGAATGGATAAAGAGTTGACACTGTATATTTATTTGAGAACGGAAAATACAGGCTTGTGGCTTCAGGGAACCACCCTTGTATAATGTCGTACATGATCACTGATCACTAAATTCTTTTCACACAAAAGGATTTTGCTTCCTCAACCATATAATTCACAAAATATCAAATTCAAAACTCAACACCAGTTTTTCCACCCTCTTTTAGGAATTTCATTATTAAAAATATAAAATTCTAAAAAAGTTTTCCACCCATAGTCTTAACCATGACTATTTTTACTTCTTCACGTTCCCCGTTCTGAGCCTTGTACTTTTGCATGGATAATCTTTTTTAAAATTCATTTTTATTAACACTACAGATATTTTTACCTGACTGTATTCATACTTATGTAGGGTTTTCTTCTCCACCGCATTTTCTAAACTGTTCCATTTTGCTACACTGACCTAATAATTAATATTTCAATAGTTCTAATAGTCCCCAAGTTGACACATCAATATTTCCTTAACCATTTCCTCTGTGGCTAGAAAGTTAGATTGCTATCCATTTTTCATTAATAAAGATAATACTGCCATAAATAACTATGTATGCACAGCTTTTCCCTCTTTAAAATGATTTCCTTAAAATAAATTCCCCAAACTGGAAATAATGGATAAAAAGAAATGATGTTTTTTACAGCCCTTGATAAATATTACATAAATATTCTCATAATTTGGAAAATATTTCCATTATGCAAAGCCATATAAAAATAATTTTTATAATGGGTCAAACTCTTATTAAATGCATTTTTGCCACCATTAAAAGACTGGTAATGTTAATGTACTTTGGTCCTATTATTTAAGTAAATAGTGGAAATAACCAACTAGGATGTGAAAAGCTAATAAAAACAGCTGATGAAGCTACAAACCTGAATATACAGTGCTCTGTATATCATCTGAGTACCTCTAAAAACCATCCTGATTTTTGTTCAGAAATTAGCCTTTGATTTTCTAGTCATAATCATTCTAAGAGAAAACAAGCCAGGGACTAAGAGATAAGTCGCAGGGTCCAAAAGCTGGAGGAGCTTCATTTATGACCACTTATGGTTATAACACTTTCTTACAGCTTGGCTGTTTCCCTTTCCTTGCTTGTGAAACCTCTTGTCCACTCAACATGGGTTTTCTGATGCCTCTGTGGCCCTTACCTCCTCGGCTGAGTCAGTGGACCGGAGGCTTCTCTCCTCCCCGCTCAACCTCCAACCCTTTGGAGTTTGGGCAGACACAGGTGTCAGTTTCTCTAACTCTGCGGCACTTTTTCCTCTGTCTTGATTCCTCTGCTTTTTAGGCACAGTTTTTTTCTCTAAGAAAGTGTTCTTGTTCTCTAGCTTCCTGCTCTCTCTAGTGTCCTCAGACTTTCTTGGGGTCTTCTTTTTCCTCCTGCCTCTGACATCGGTTTCCTCCTCAGCACTCAAGGCATCATCCAGGGGCTTTCCAAAGCTGTGCTCCAGCCCTGCGTCCTGCCCTGCTTTCTCTCTTGCACTTTTAGTTTTTTGTCTCTCTTCTCTGCTTTCAGAAAGTAGCCCTTCACTGTCATCCTCTGTAAAGGGCAAATCATTAAGTACACTTGATTCGGGTTCCACCTGGGATTCGACCCATTTTTCTTTTTTTGTTTTTCTATTTTCTTTGGGATCTTCTCTTGTTTTCATCTTTAAATCTCTTATTTCGCCCTTTTTAACTTTCTTTAATTCCTTTGTTTCTTTTACTTCATCTTTTTTGGGCTTTTTGGACTCCTTTAGTTCTTCTCTGGCTTCCGAAATTCTTTTCTTTGTCCTTAAATCAAAAACTAAACTTTCCAAGGAGCTCTCCAGGTCTGGTTTGGACTTGTCTTTTAGTTTTCCGGCCTTTGCCTTTTTCTTTTTCAGATCATCTGGGCTTTTCTCTTCTCTCTGCCTTAATTTTTTCTTTTTCTTCTTTGGGGAAGTATCTTCTTTTGTCTCACTTTGCTGATCGCTATCAGAGTTTGCCTCAAATATGTCATTATTTAAGGATAGTTTCTAAAAAAAAAAAGATTAAAATATCCATTAACATATTAATTTTAAAGGCTTTGAAAAGCAGTACCAATGAAATCTGGTAAGAATATTTTTTGTCCTAACCAGAATCCCAACTTCTTAAAACTGCTTAACCAAGCTGAAATCATATGCTACCTCTCTCTCTGACTTAGCAAACAGGTCTTGGTAATGAGGGCAAGTGTGAGTTTAGAAAGCAGGGGCACACAGAAACACAATGCTGCTGAGCGCCCAACTCAAAGCAGGAGTGAATGGACTCAGGTATGGTAGGTTGTAAATAATCTGAACTTCAATATTTCCAAAACCACCAAGAAAGTAATCTTTACAGGTTGTCTTGGCTGCCAACAAAGTAGTTATCAATGCAAACACAAAATGTTTTCTAAGACCCTGGGTCCCGCAACGTTCTTAAAATTGCTCCTCGATTTGACAGTTACGTATGGAGCAAGACTGCACACAAATCTTACTTCCCAAATGCATGGGCTGTTATCTGAAATATTGCCTACAAAAAAATATTTTCCTATTTTAGAATTGAAAAACAGAAACTTAAGAATAAAGTACCTGTATAGACACAAAAACACTATGCAAAGTATTTTCAGTTCCCATTTCCCAAAACCACCTTATCCTAAATGACTTGGGGGTGAAGAGAAGGGAAGGAAACGATAGATATACTTTTCTCTTTTTTTCTGAGATGGAGTCTCGTTCTGTTGCCCAGGCTGGAATGCAGTGGCATGATCTTGGTTCACTGCAGCCTCCGCCTCCTGGGTTCAAGTGATTCTCCTGCCTCAGCCTCACGAGTAGCTGGGATTACAGGTGTGCACCACCATGCCCTGCTAATTTTTGTATTTTTAGTAGAGATGGGGTTTCACCATGTTGGCCAGGGTGGTCTCGAACTCCTGATCTCAGATGATCCACCTGCCTCAGCCTCCCAAAGTGCTGGGATTACAGGTGTGAGCCACAGTGCCTAGCCAGACAGATATACTTTAAAAATGTCTTCCCTACACTGCCTAAGAAATGGACGCCACCAAGGTTAACAAGTAGGGATATGATAGAGCTAGCTTAACCTTTCCAATCTCCTTGAATCACCTCATAAAAAACAATGAGAACACATGGACACAGGGAGGGGAGCACTACACACTGGGGTCTGTTGGGGGGAAATAGGGGAGGGACAGTGGGGGGTGGGAAGTTGGGGAGAGAGAGCATGGGGAGAAATGCCAGATATAGGTGAAGGGGAGGAAGGCAGCAAATCACACTGCCATGTGTGTACCTATGCAACAATCTTGCATGTTCTTCACATGTACCCCAAAACCTAAAATGCAATAAAACAAACAAACAAACAAAAAAAAAACAAGGCAAGTAGGATAGCCGAACAAAATTCCCCCACAGACAGCTTTTAGTTTGGTAAGTCCCAAGTCCACACCATCCAGGCCTTACCAATACTAAAACAGCAGTGAGGCCCGTGCAGTGTGGACAGTCACTCAGGGGAGGCGAAGGCCACAATCTGGAAAGGCCCAGGCGGTTGGTGCCTGAGAGTACAGCAGTGGGGTGGGGCCGCGTGCACCTTGGGTAAGGCGGAGAGAAGCGGGGAGGAGGCTGGCCCCTCCCAGGCCCTGCAAACTCCCAAAAAGGACCAGGGAAGCTCCCCTCAGGAATTCCAGGACCAAGCCCTACAAGGAGGACAAACTGCTAGGATTGGATTCCAAACAAAGTAGGCCAGAGAAGACAGTAACAAAAGATCTAAAAAAAAATTTTCAAAGTTAGCTAGGCTAACTGACTACCCAAAAAACAATAAAAGCATGCCAAAAAGACATGTCTATAAAACAGCAGAGAAAACAAACAAAAACTTTGGAGCATCACGCAAAAAGACCCAAGTCACTTATTAGACAAAGAAACTCAATTGGTCATCAAGAGCAGTGTTTTGTGCCAGATGACAATGGATTAACATAATAAGACACCTGAGAAAAGAAAATGTGCACCAAGGAATCTGCAACTGGCGTTCAGAGAGAAAAACTGCCAACAAACTGTTAGGAAACACAAGAATTCAGCAAATATTGTTCTCAAGAGCCTTTCCACCACAAAGGTGGGTTGCAAACTCTTGTGTCCACCCCCACTGAGGACTGACGCTCCTGCCAGAGTCCACATTTGGAGAAGCCCTGTACTAAAGCATGAGCTTCAGATAACCAAAAATGACTGGACAAACATCACCATATGGACTGGTGGAAAGCATTAATTATGTATTTGCTTCTAGAACTAAGACTGAATGAGGTTATAAGAGAGACTGCAGTACCTGTGACTAAATGTTCTGACAAGGTACAGTGAAATAATGCGGAGAGGTGTTGAACATATTAACGGAATATTATGCTTGCCCATTATAGTTATTAACTTAGTAAAGGACAGTATTTCAAATTAGATACAGAGGGAGAGAGAGGGCAGGGAGAAGATAGGTCCTACTTAATTTCTACTTTTATCCTTTAAACCACATTAAGTATTTTACATACTCAACAAAACTACATCGGCAAGGATGGGGGAGCCCTAAAACTGAATATAGACAAATGAACCTGCTTATCAAATTGATAACAAAACCACACAGAAAAAAATGCAAGTAACATTAAACAGTGAATATATTCTTCTGAACATTAAACAGTGAATATATTCTAAGAACAAAAAGAACTGCAAATAAATGTGGAACTTTATCAAATAGGTTGATAAATACTGTTTGTTGTTTGCAGTAGAAAGGACATAGCAAATCTGGGGCTAATTTCTTTGTATTGTTAAGATTTAGTAAATGAGGGTTGTGACCAGAGTTCTCCTGGTAGGAAAAGGGAGAGTATGCAGGGTTTTATGGTGACAGACTGAATTACAGAGGTCAGCACAGATTTATTAAGGCTGGGATGTGCCACTGTGTCAGAAAGGAGAGCAGTACTACCCTGAGAGAGAGAGCACCAGGACACAGGGGCTGGGATTAAGGGGTTCCCAGATAAATGTGCAACAGTTTTAGCACCAATAGTAACACGCTGAACAAAAGAATCTCTGAGAATCTACTGGTGCCAAAAATATCCTTGTTTGTTTTCTGAATATGTATTAATAAAAGATTATTTTAAAGGAAGGGCAAAGAGCAAAATTATTACTATATGGTAAAAACTTTAAAAGAAAAATCAGGTTGGGCACAGTGGCTCATGCCTGTAATTCCAACACTTTGGGAGGCTGAGGTGCGAGGATCACTTGAGGCCAGGAGTTCACTACCAGCCTGGTCAATAGAGAGAGACCCTATCTCTAAAAAAAAAAAATAGCCAGGCATGGTGGGGTGTACCTACAGTCCCAGCAGCTTGGGAGGCTGAGGTGGGAGGATTATCACTTGAGCACAAGAGGTTGAAGCTGCAGTGGGCCATGACTGTGCTACTGCACTCCATCCTCAGTAACAGAGGCAAGATTCTGTATTTAAAAATAAATAAGTGAGAAGAAAAGAAAAAAGTCATACATCTATGTATAATCTGAAGGCAGCTCAAGGGCAGAAAATAGATTTTACCTATCTTTCCGTAACTGTAACTGTTTAAGGGTCTGGCCCATATGAGATACTTCATGTTTACTCAAAAAAGAAAAAAAAAAAAAGCTAAAAATACTAAAGTGTAGACAAAACATTTCAGTAGAAGTCTATTAGTGTTATGTAACATCACTCAAAGCTCACGACAGATCAGTAGTCACCTTACTTGTAGATTTTCAACAGTTTTAAAAACAAATTAAGAGCTGGATCATATCACACACATGGATATTTAATGCTACCTCCTTTGTTTTTATTTTAGCTTGAAATAACTCATGGTCAATCAGCCAGGCGTGGTGGTTCATGCCTGTTGTTCAAGCTACAGTGACAAGGCCTTTAATAACATGTTTTAAAAATTATTAAGCACAGTGAGCATGTATACTACATAAGTGCATTCAGCACTCTAGTATATAGTCTAAGATGGGAAACTGAGGCTTAGAGGAATTTAGAGTAGCTGAGGTTAAGTACCTAATCCAAGTTCACCCACTGAGTAATGATACAGCCAAGGAGCTATACTCTTAACCAGTTTTGAAAATCTATGCTACAATGGCAGGGCCTCTAATAATATGTTTTTAAAGTTATTAAGCAAAATTCTCAGTACTTTTTATAATATTTATAAAGGAAATCCTTTACAAAATGAGTCCAGAATAACGTAGAGATTTGCATTGCCTGTTCTTTTGTTTTAGTTATACTTAACTTTTCTCAGATGGATACCTGGCCCCACCTTCCCAGTTCTTTCCCCAAAATCACTCATGTGTACATACTAATACACCTGTTTTACTAAGTGATTGCTTCACTTATAAACCTGTGCTGACCCAATGTGTGGTAGTTATGTAGCGTACACACATGCTCAGTAAATGCCAGCCACTTCTGTTATTACCATTATTAACAACTACTGCACTCAATCAAAACTAAGAATGTTTTGGTCATTTAAAAAAAAGACTATTTTTAAAAATATAGTTGAAACTTAAATTGCAGGGAGAAAGATCAGTGTTTAGCCTATAAAATAAGTAATGAGAATCATTCTCTTAAAGTAACATATCTTCACTAGATAGTTCTAAGTTTTTGTTTTTTTTTTTAAACCAGTTCCTCACCATATAATTTGTTTTAAATAGCAGAAAAAGCAGGCATAAGACATAGGTTAATAACACAGAATAAATATAAAATATACAAAAACAAGTTGCTCATATCATGGATGAACAAATGATAGTTTGGCATGTCTCTTTTTTCTCCACTTTCACCTTACTCTCTTTTTTTTAAAAAAGACTCAGACCAGTGGGTCAGTCTTAAAAGAAAATATCAATATTCATCTCCAAACTATTCTTGCTTGTCAATTACAACTGTAGGTTGGGTACAGAAGGAAGAACCCAGCAAAAACCACTGAAAGCAGTCTGTGAGAACTAGCTACATGGAATTTACACTAAGGAATATTACAATTTATCATTTGTAAATCATTTACTACATACACTTTAAAAGAGTTAAAATTTCCAATAAATTTATGTACATAAAAACAAATATGAGACAAAACATGATACCTGAATATCCTTCCTAACTGCTTTGGCTTTGTTCTCTGCAATCTTCTTCCTAAATTCAAGAAGCACTTCTTTACAGTCCTCCAGGTGAATCTCAGGCTCCCAGGTGTCGTCATCTGATGCATAGCCTTTCCAGCGAACTTTGTAAAGAACTTTACCCTGTTATAGAAAATAAAAGCAGGCAAATAAAGGAGGTCACTAACTTGATTAAATTTCCAAAAAACAAACTGCTGAGAAGACATGAAACAACTTGAAAGCTGCTTCTAAATGGAAATTATCACATTGTAAAGTATATCCATCTCCTGAGAAAAGTGGCTTAAGAAACAAAGTATCAACCAGGTGCTGTGGCTCATTAATCTCTAGCACTTTGCAAGGTCGAGGTGGGCAGACTGCTTGAGCCCAGGAGTTTGAGAACAGCCTGGTCAATATGTTGAAACCTTGTCTCTATTAAAAATACAAAAATTATGGTGGCATGTGCCTGTAGTCCCAGCTACCTGTGAGGCTGAGGAAGGAGAATGCTTGAATCCAGGACGTGGAGGCTGCAGTGAGTGGGGATTGGGCCACTGCACTCCAGCCTGGGCAAAAGAGCAGGACTCCATCTCAAAAAAAAAAAAAAACCTAGCTGGTAGAGGAGGTGTGCACCTGTGGTCCCAGTTACTTGGGAGGCTGAGGTGGAAGAATCACTTAAGCCCAGGAGGCAGAGGTTGCAGTGGGCCAAAATGGCGCCACTGCATTCCAGCCTGGGCAACAGAGCCAGACCCTGGTATGGAAAAAAAAAAAAAAGAGAGAGAGAGACAGAGAAAAAAGAAAAGAAAAAGCAGAATCATTGATCTATTTTTCATAAACCAAAGACTGAGGTCCTATTCTGATTCTATAAAATGGTGTGTAATACTTCAAAAGCAATGAAAAATAGGAAGAACCAAATAAAAGTCATCCACAAATACCGGTAACAATTTGATCTATTTCCTTCACCTACTACATTATTAACACATATTTAGAATGTTTTAAAAACATTAGGATAACTTTTAATATTGCTTTTTCACTTATGTATCAATCACTTTTTGTTATATTACTTTTCAAAAATAAGACTTAAAATTATTTCATCATACAAATGTAACAAAAAAAAACTACAAAAATGCTCCCTTTGTTACAATAGTTTAGACCCTTTCCATTTTTCTGTATTTATAAATAAAGCTGAAATATCCCTGTGTATCTCTGATTAAGTCATTAGAATAAATTCCCAGAAAGGAGAGCAATGAGGTTAAAAAAAAACTAGCCATTTCCAAGGTTGGTGGCACCCAGGCATGGTGGTGCACACCTGGAGACCCAGATACTTGACAGGCTGTAATGGGAGGATCCCTTAAGTCCAACAATTGGAAGCTAGCCTGAGCAACATACTGAAATCCCGTCTCAAAAATAATAATAAAATAAAATAAAAATAAAAACCTATGATAATTTTTTTTTTTTTTGAGAGGGGGTCTTTCTCTGTCACCAGGCTGGAGTGCAGTGGCGTGATCTTGGCTCACTGCAACCTCCGCCTCCCAGGTTCAAGTGATTCTCCTGCCTCAGCCTCCCAAGTAGTTGGGACTACAGGCTCATGCCACCATCCCCAGCTAATTTTTGTATTTTTAGTAGACACGGGGTTTCACCATGTTGAACAGGGTGGTCTCGAACTCCTGACCTCAAGTGATCCTCCTGCCTGAGCCTCCCAAAGTGCTGGGATTACAGGTGAGAGCCACTGCACCCGCCCCCCCCGGAGTAAATTTTAAAATTTAAGATGTTCTTGCCAGGCACGGTGGTGCATGCCTGTAGTCCCAGCTACTCAGGAGGCTGAGGCTGGAGGATCTCGAGTCCAGGAGTTCTGAGCTGTAGTGCGCTATGCCGATTGGGTGTCTGCACTAAGTTCGACAACAATATGGTGACCTCCCGGGAGTGGGGGACCACCAGGTTGCCTAAGGAGGGGTGAACTGGCCCATGTCGGAAACAGAGCAGGTCAAAACTCCCATGCTGATCAGTAGTGGGATCGCGCCTGTGAATAGCCAGCGTACTCCAGCCTGGGCAACATAGCGAGACCCCATCTCTTACAAAAAAAAAAAAAAAAAAATGTTCTTTGTGATAATAGTCCACCATCTTCTCAATTTTGCTGACTTTCTGAATAAATCTGTTTTCTCTCACCAACCCTCGTCTCTTGTGTCTGGCTTTCGAGTAGCAACCAGCCAAACCTGGGTCCAGCTAGATTCTTTGATATGCTGTCAAAAGCACAAACAAAAGAAAAAGATAAACTGTATTTTATCAAAATTAAAAACTTGGCCAGGCACAGTGGCTCATGTCTGTGATTCCAGTACTTTGGGAAGGCGAGGCGTCCGCATCACCTGAGGTTAAGAGTTTGGACCAGTTTGGTGAAACCCCGTCTCTATTAAAAACACAAAAGTTAGCCGGGTGTGGTGGCGGGGGCCTGTAATCCCAGCTGCTTCGGAGGCTGACGCAGGAGAATCATTTGAACCCGGGAGGCAGAGGTTGCAGAGAGCCGAGATTGCGCCATTGCACTCCAGCCCAGGCAACAGGGTGACACTCCATCTCAAAAAAAAAAAAAAAAAAAAAAAAAAAAAAAAAAAAAAAAAAACTTTCGGGCATCAAAGGACATTATCATCAGGTGAAAAGATAATCCACAGAATGGGAAAAGTATTTGCAAATCATATATCTGATAAGGAATTAATATCCAGAATATATAAACACAACTTTTTTTTTTTTTTTTTTTTGAGATGGAGTTTCACTCTTGTTACCCAGGCTGGAGTGCAATGGCCTGATCTCGGCTCACCGCAACCTCCGCCTCCTGGGTTCAGGCAATTCTCCTGCCTCAACCTCCTCAGTAGCTGGGATTACAGGCATGCGCCACCATGCCCAGCTAATGTTTTGTATTTTTAGTAAAGATGGGGTTTCACCATGTTGACCAGGATGGTCTCGATCTCTTGACCTCATGATCCACCCGCCTTGGCCTCCCAAAGTGCTGGAATTACAGGCTTGAGCCACCGCGCCCGGCTACTTTTGAAAAGATGCTCAACATCATTAGTCCTTAGGGAAATGCAAATCAAAACCACAAAATGAAATACTACTTCACAACTTTAAATGGCCATTAAAAAAAACCCCCAAAAACAGAAAATAGCAAGCATTAGTAAGGATGTGGAGAAATCAGAATCTTCTTACCTTGGTGTTGGGAATGTAAAATAGTACAGCTGCTATGAAAAACTGTCAAGACAGTTTCTCAAAAATTTAAACACAGAATCATCCTATGACCCAGCAATTCCAAAGGTAGTTCCTATTTTCAATTCCAAAAGGATTGAAACAAATATTCAAACAAATATTTGTACACCAAAGTTCACTGCAGCATTATTCACAACAGCCAAAAGGTGGAAGCAACCCGAGTGTCTGTTGATCAATGAATAAAATGTCTACCCATACAACGGATTATTCAGCCCTAAAAAGGAAAGACATCCTGACACATGCTGTAACATAGATGAATCTTGAAAATATTATGCTAGCAAAACACAAAAGGCTATTTATGATTTCACTTACATGAGGTACTTAGAATAGGCAAATTCATTGAGACAGAAAGTACATTAGAGGCTACCAGGGACTTGAGGTACGCAGGATGGGTACTCTTCAATCACACCCACATTGCCCTTAAATCATTCGGCCATCTGTGTAAAAAGACCAAGTACTAGTGCTGTTTAATGACTACAGAGTCTCTGGAAAGATGAAAAGATTTTAGAAATAGTAGTGTTGTTTGCACAACTGAGTGAATGCAATTAATGCTGCTGAACTATACACTTAGAAATGGTTAATTCTATGCTATGTATACATAATCACAATAAAACACTTTAAATTACCTGTTGTGTCTTTTACCCATTTTCTTGCTCATCTATAAGAATATCTCTTTCTAATACTTTTTAAGGTTACTAAATCTTTGTAATATATATTCCAAAGTTTTGCTTCTTCAGATTTCTGGTTTATCGTTTCTGCTCAATACCTAATCTCACTGAGAATCAAGAATATAAAACTTGACTGTCAACATGAACTGCAGAGCACCATTCTAGCTGCACACTTAACACGTGCCCAATTTTCTTCCTACCACCACCAAGGCAATAAACTTTCCAAGCAGAGTGCTAAGAACTGCTCCCTCCCATTTTATCCTTCAATCATACCCACACTGCCCTTCAATCATTATCTGTGTAGAAAGATCAAGTATAAACACTAAGCAGAATTTGAACTCAAGAAATGCCAGAAAAAGAACAGACTCAAAATCTTAACTTTTTTTTTTTTTTTTTTTGAGATAGAGTCTTGCTCTGTCTCCAGGCTGGAGTGCAGTGGCGTGATCTCGGCTCACTGCAACCTCTGCCTTCCGGGCTCAAGCGATTTCCCTATCTTAGCCTCCCAAGTAGCTTGGACTACAGGCAGGCACCACCATGCTCAGCAAATTTTTTGTATTTTAGTAGAGATGGGTTTCACATGTTGGCTAGCCAACACAAAAGGCTATTCGGTCTCCTGACCTTGTGATCTGCCTGCTGGTCTCTATCTCCTGATCTGGTGATTTTCCTGCCCTTGGCTTCCCAAAGTGCTGGGATTATAGGCATGAGCCATCATGCCCAGCCTCAAAATCTTAACTTTTAAAGATAAGCCTGAAAAGCCTTAAAATGTTCAAGTAATAGTTAAGAGTACATCAACACAGTTTTACTGTTCAGCTACATTAAATGGGTAGGAAGATGGTGATTTTATCCATTGAGAATATATGTGTATTCTTTTGGGGAAAATAACATACAGAAGGAAAACTACTGTATACAACTCTGTAAGAGCTTCTGTAAAGGCATAATTAAAACTGAAGAAATTAAAGGTGAGACAGCACAGTTAAGAAGCTTGTATGGACGGGAAAAAGAAATCTTAGTCAATAGTATGCAGAACTGCCTAAAAGAAAGCAATATGTTTGGTTTTGGAATAAATATCATACAAAAAGTTATTATCATACATTGAATGAATACACTAATTTTATCAGTAACAGGTCATGGGAACAAAAATGATCTTGTGTGTGTGTGTGTGTATGTGCATAAAAAGAGCGGCAAATGCGTTATTCAACATAGCCCTTAAGAGAATGCCACTTTCAAATCGGCCAGAAAAAAATGTATTTACACAGAGAAAAAAGATAAATAGATAAATGATTAACAACTGGAGAATCTGGGTGAAGGTTTATGCACTGGAGACTAGAAAACTACCTTTTACATTAACACAGTTATAAATCTAATGCTAGTTACCAAGAAATTTGATCTAATTGATGAGGAAGGTATTAAGAAAAATTTTCAAGAATTAAGGAACATATCTTAATTGTAGCTCCAGATTTAATTTACTGGTAATTGTTAGCCTTTACTTCAGCATTTGTGCCTCCTTCATTCACTCATTCAACAAATAGTTACTGAATGTGGTCACTATGTTTTAGGAACCTTTTGAGTTTTAGGAGCACTGCAGTATGAAATCCTGGAATTTCAAATTTAGATAAAATCTCTGAATTTCACATCTTTGTATAGGAGTCATGTAGATCCAAATATTGCCCAGGGTTTTGCCATATATTAGGAAATTGCATGATAGCCCTGGGATTTATAAATTTGACTTCAAAATTCTGAAAGTAGTCTATTTTCCTTTAGCCTAATCAGTGAGCCAAACTAAAAGGCAGGCCCCTATTCTACCAGGTCATATACACTGGAGCAACAGTTTAAAATGTTTGTTAAAAAAGTTAAAAAAAATTGGCCTGGTGCAGTGGCTCACACCTATAAATCTCAGCACATTGGGAGGCCAAGGGTGAAGGATCACTTGAGCCCAGGAGTTTGAGAACAGCCTAGGCAACATAGGGAGACCCAATCCCTATAAAAAAATTAAAATATTAATTGAGGTAGGGCACACCTATAGTCCCAGTTACTCAAGAAGCTGAGGTGGGAGGCCTGTTTGAGCTGGAAGGTCAAGGCTGCAGGCCTTGGGCAACAGAGAAATAATGATATATGGGTTGGAATGGTGGTGTACGTATATATTTCCACAGTTCTTATGTTCATTATTCATACATATAGTTAGAATCAAGAAATATTATGAAAAAAAAAGCGAATCAATTCTGAGGGTTTCTGATTATAAATTTTAAATCCCTAGACTATTAAGGAGGCCTAACAAACCGCTAACAGGACCCTTAAGTTTGTCGACGGCTAGGTGGCTAACCAACTAGCTGGCTCACTCCGCAGTAAAAGAGAAAACTGTATAGTCCTGTTCTGCTAATACCTTTTGTGTTAGTCTGTTCTCATAGTGCTATGAAGAAATACCCAAGACTGAGTAACTTATAAAGGAAAGAGGCTTGACTCAGTTCAGCGTGGCTGGGGAGGCCTCAGGAAACCATAATCATGGCAGAAGTCAAAGCAGAAGCAGGCACCTTCTTCACAGGGTGGCAGGCCCGAGTGAATGCAAGCAGGGGAAATGCCAGAGGCTTATTATAAAACCACCAAATTGAGACTCACTCACTATCACCAGAACAGCATTGGGGGAACCACCCCTATGATCCTACCTTCACCTGGTCCCTCCCTTGACACGTGGGAATTATGGGGAATACAATTCAAGGTGAGATTCTGGATGGGGACACAGCCAAACCATATCACCTTCATCTTATAAATCACTCCTTCGCAAGAGCACCTAAAAATGCAAGAACTTTAACTCAAACTTACAGCACTAAAGAATAACTGCCTTACACATGTAGGTTTTTTAGTTTCACCCTCTTTAGACTGGTGAGGACTTAGGTATACAGTGCTTACACTTCTTTGAGGCTGGCAAAATTAAAAACTTTATGAATGAATGAATCTTAATTCTAAAGACTTTATCCTTCTAGCCAAATATTTTCCAAATACCTTCTGTGTGAAAAGTATTGTGTTAAATGCAGGTGATATGAAACAGTCTAACAGTGGCTCCTTCTTTCACCTCAAGGTGCTTACAATATATTTGGAGAAATTATACATAAAAACATTTCTATCTTTATTGCAAATGACAATATTAATGACATCAGATCTTAATTACTTAACTCCCCACATACAGGAAAAGTTTCCACTGTCAGCACCTGTGTATGCTTCAATTAATCTCTATCGTCCGGACCTAACACAGCACCTGGCATACAGTAGTTGAAAAAAAATGCTGAATGAATGGGCAAAAAATTGACACAAGGCAGCATGTGACCAATGGGAAATAACAGACAATGAAAAGAATACAACATGGAGAATGACCACTGTGGGGCCCTTTGGTTACCTCGCACCCATCTACAGAAACAGATTATTTTCTTATTATCCATGCTTCCCCTTGGATTGAAGAAGCCCACATGTAGCAAGAGAGACAAAAAAACGATATTGGCTTAAATGCCTTCATTGAGGTCAACACAAAAAGTAAAAAGGGCAGAGATGAGAAAACTCACTCTGCAGAGATTAGGGTCAAAAAAGGCTTTCCCAGGGCACTAGACCCTGAGGCCTTGAAAGATTAAGATTTCACCAGAAGAGGGCAGAGAACTGTCCAGGCCAGGAGGACACTAAACACCAAAGCATGGTGTGATGAATTCCAAGTATTTCTGTGTGGCTGCGATCTATATACAACGCGTAGAGGAGAGAGGGATGATGCTGGCCAGGGTCTGAAGGCCTTTAAATGCCACCCTCTGGGTGAGATTGAGATTTCACTCCGAGGGCAAATGAGAATTCCAGAAGATTTTAAACCAGGAACGAGTTGTAACGGTTTTGGAAAACAGTGGAACGAAGGTGTGGACAATGAACCATGACAAAACGCGTTACTTCACTATCGTACCACTCCAAAGATCAGCAGCTCCAACCATGTACCCAAATACCGAGGACCACAGAAGTCCGTCACCAGCTGCCTGCAGCCTTGTCATCACCATATCACCACATCCCAAACTGCTTCGTCTCTTCAGCCAAAACAATCCTTCAAAACTTGCTGAAGCTTTCCTCACAGACTCGGCCCTAGGAGTGCACTGGGAAATGTCACTTCGCTTTTCCCACGATTTCGCGGGCTTGCGTCGAGCTCGTCACATTCCTCCCCCGCTCGCGTTTTGGGTCTGCCCGCGCTGTTTCCAGCTCGCGTCCTCCCCGCCGGGCCCGCAGCTCCCCGCCCAGCCTCGCGTCGGGGCCCCTTCACGTACCCCCTCCGTCTTCATGTCCAAGATCTTCTCCACTTCGAACACATCCTCCCCGTCCTCCTCACTGTCGCCAACGGCCTCCGCTCCTCTCGCGGCTGCGTCATTCTCACCGACTACTCCAACTCCTTCTTCGACTTTGGCCAACTCCACAGTGCTGTCGGCAGCTGACACAGGAACTGCGGTCACACTCGCTCCCTCCGGAGCCGGCTCCATCCTAGAAGCTCCGCAAACTACCCAGAAAACCCGCTGCGACAGACACCCCAGCAGCTCCTAGCGTTCCGCGCTCGACCCTACTCCACTTCAGCGGCGTGACGGAAGCCGACCAATGGTAGGCTTGGGACCCTAGAGTGACAGGCACAAAAACCAATCGTGTAAAGGCGGGCGCGGCGTAGCCTCGCGTAGCCCACGGGAAGCAGGTGGGCGGGGCGCGCGGCACCTCGGGCGGAAGAACGTGGTGGCATTTTGGGGGTGTGGCGAAAAGGTCAAGGGTGAGAGAGAAGCGGGCGAGGCTAGGGTAGATCCGGCGGAGGGCGTCCCAGGGCTGAGGGCGGCCCCGAGGACTTGTCAGTGCCCGATCCCCCAGCAGGGAAGCCTCAGGCGCGGAAGCCCGGGAGGGTCAGAGCCGGGGACTTTCTAGGAAAGGGAACTCCGCAGCTGCCGAAACCCCAGCCGAGCGAAACGGGTTCTCAGAAGTCATACATGATTTAGCACGTGTGGATGATCCAATCAAATATAACTCATAGTGCTCTTATATTTTAATGAGTGTTGTTTAAAGTCAAGGAAATTTAGCGGCCTAAAAAGCATCCATTTTCCAAGTTCGTAGTGCCCTTTTCGTTTTCATTGAAAATATCGGAGGAAGACGTGATTAAAAGTATTTGTTCAGGTTGTGAAGAGTTGACAAAAATTACGCCAGCCAAAGTTAGCGAAATACTGCTTAGGAAAATACACTTAAGGATAGTATATTTTTCTCACTTTGAATTTCGGATATGCGACTGAAGTCTTTATGGCATCAAGCTTTCTGTTTTTGTTTCTTTGAACAGTGGACTTAATTTGTAAGATGAGCCTCATTGCCAGTTTCTGAGCTTTAACTGAAGCATAATCTATGGTCCAGCAAATCCTTTCGGAGAGGATCGCCGGATCTTTGAGTTGACTCGATGATTTTTTTTTCACTCAGGTTTAATCAGATAGTACTCAATGATATATTGTTGGGCTTATTAAATGCATCCTATGTACCATCGACAGCAGGCATTCAATTTTGGTAAATGTTATGGTTTACAGGAATACAAAGATCAGTAGAGCATAGTATGCCTTCCTAGTACCCACAGGAAGGAGTTCCGGGAAGACACACACCAATGCTAACAATTATGTATTTGAAAAACTGTAAAAATATTACAACCATAAAATTAGTGGATGGGAGAAAGCTCATTTTTACAGAATTCCAGATGATAAATATAGAAGGAAAGTTAGAGTTAGAAAAATCACAATAATATGTGCAAAAGATCCAGAGAGCAAAGCATTATATAAAAGGGTGATGAGGAACTGGATATTCACAAGGCACTATAGATCCACAGATTATTTGTTGGTTGTAGGGGAAAATCTAGCTTCACGTTTGAAAACCCGCTGATCAATGTTAGCATTACTAAAAGTGGAATAACCAGACTGTATGCTTCCTGTTGACAAAAATGTTGCTCCTTAATATACTCGGGCCTTTAAGTGTCATTTCCAGTTACACTGGAATAAAGGGGAAAGAGGAAAGAATAAAGGGGAAAAAGGAAAGAATAAAGGGGAAAGAGGAAAAGGAAACAATCAGACAAATACAGAATGTGGGATATCCTATTGGACAACTGATTGTTTCTTCCGGTTAAAGATAAAAGAAGAAGGAGGAGAAGATTATTGTAGATTTATAACAATTTGAGATGAAACACTTGGCAACATTTTAAATATTTTAAATCTTAATGTGTTCATTATACTGTTCTCTGCTTTTATGTAATTTTGAATAAAATTTAAGTACATATATTCATGGTAAAAGTTTTGAATTAAAAAATATATAAGGCCAGGCACAGTGGCTCACACTTGTAATCCCAGAACTATGGGAGGCTGAGGTGGAAGGATGGTCTGAGCTCAGGAGTTCGTGACCAGCCTGGGCAACATGGCAAAACTCTGTCTCTATCAAAAATACAAAAAATTAGCTGAGCATGGTAGTGCATGCCAGTGGTTCCAGCTCCTCGTGAGTCTGAGATGGGAGGATCCCTTGAGCCTGGGAGGCAGAGGTTGCAGTGATCTGAGATTGCGCCACTGCACTCCAACCTGAGTGACAGAGTGTGACCTTGTCTAAAAATATATGTGTGTGTGTGTATATATATATATATATGCATACATATACACATAAAACAGCCAGGCACAGCAGCTTATACCTGTAATCCCAGTGAGTGCTTTGGGAGGCTGAGATAGGAGGATCACCTGAGACTCTGAGGCCAGGAGTTCAAACCAGCCTGGGCAATACAGCAAGACCCCCATCTCTACAAAGATGAAAAAAGAAAACTAGCTGGGTGTGGTGGCAGGCACCTGTAGTCCCAGCTACTTGGAATGCTGAGGTAGGAGAATTGTGGCTTGCTTGAGCACCACTGCACTCCAGCCTGGGTGACACAGAGTGAGATCCTGTATTACTCCTTTTTCATACTGCTATAAAGAACTGCCTGAGACTGGGTAATTTATAAATGAAAGATGGTTAATTGACTTACAGTCTAGCTTGGCTGGTGAGGCCTCAGGAAACTTACAATCATGGCAGAAGGCAAAGAGGAAGCTGGTCTTTAAATCCTAACCTTCTGAAGGCAGCAGGAAGAAGTGACAGGTGAAGGGGTGAAGATCCCCTTATAAAACCACCAGATCTCATGGGAACTCACTCACTATCATGAGAACAGCATGAGGGAAACTGCCCCCAGGATTCAATTACCTACACCTTGCCCTTCCTTGACACATGGGGAGTACGGGGAATACAATTCAAGATGAGATTTTGCGTGGGGACCCAAAGCCTAACCATATCAGATCCTGTCTCTGAAAAAAAAAGTGTTGGGCACCACGCCTCACACCTGTAATTCCAACACTTTGAGAGGCCAGAGTAGGAGGAGTTTATATTTGAAGGCAGGAGTTTCATGACACAATGAGCTATGATCCCACTACTGCACTCTGGCCTGGGCAACACAGCAAGACCCTGTCTCTAAAATATATGTGTGTGTATATACGTATATATAAACAACATTGTATAATATATATCATACATAATATATATTCCATATATATTTTATATATATACCACATATATATGGTAGAAATAAAGTTCCCATTCATCAAAGATAACCAGTTTGTAATATGACATCACAAATTTTTACTCTCTGCACATGTAAGCATAAATATATACAGAATCTTTTTTTTTTTTTTTTGGTCATTCATGCTGGAGTGCAGTGGCATGACTATAGCTCAGTGCAACCTTGAATTCCTGGGCTCAAGTGATCCTCCCACCTCAGTCTCCTGGGTAGCCGGGACTACAGGCACAGGCCACTATGCCTGGCTAATTTTTGTGTTTTTTTGTAGTGATGAGGTTTTGCCATGTTGCCCAGGCTGTTCTCAAACTCCTGACCTCAAGTGATCCACCTGTCTCAGCCTCCCAAAGTGCTGAGATTATAGGTGTGAGCCACTGTGCCTGACCTCATGTGCCCCAATCTTCAAAATGAGCTCTATCGCATATTGTTTTACAACTGCTATGTATATTATATATATATGGTGCTGTGTATAAACTGCTATGTATAGTGCATATGTGTGTGTATCTATATTTCTGTGAGATAAATTTCTAGAAGTGGAATTCCTATTAGTGGAATTTATGAGTGACAGAAGGTAGTGATTTAAATTTTGATTGATGTTATGGTTTGAATGTTCGTTCTTTCCCAAACTCACTTCACGTGAAGTGGGGCCTTTAAGAGGTGATTGGGTTGTGAGGGCTTTTCCCTCATAAATGGATTAATTCATTCTGGATTAATGGATTAACCAATGGCTTATCATGGGAGTGGAACTAGTGGCTTTGTAAGAAGAGGAAGAGAAACCTCAGCTGGCATGTGTTGTCTCTTGCCAGGTGATGCCTTGCACTGCTTTGAGACGCTGCAGAGAGTCCCCACCAGCAAGAGGGGACTCACTAGATGCCCCTCCCTCAATCTTGGACCCATCCTCCAGAACTGTAAGAAATAAATTTCGTTTCTTTATACATTATCTGTTTTCAGGTACTCTGTTATAAGCAACAGAAAACAAGCTATTGCCAAATTTTGTTTTACCCATTCAATCATCCCTTGATGTCCATGGGCGATTAGTTTCAGAATGTCCTGCAGATACCAAAATTCAAGGATGCTCAAGTCCCTGATACAAAAGGGTGTACTATTTGCATATAACTTATGAACATCCTCTCATATATTTAAAATCATCTTGATTACTTACAATAGCTAATCCAATGTAAATGGTATGTGAATACTTGTTATACTGTATTGTTTACCAGATAATGACAAGAAAAATAGTGTGTACATGGTCAGTACAGATGCAACCATCATAAGCATAACTGCATTTCTGATCTGTGTTGGAAGGCCAACTGTATTTGTTTCCAGTAGTAATGTAAGGAAGTACCTGTTTACCTATGCTCTCTGTGCTACTAGGCACTTGCAATCTTTTAACTAACTTAATCTGGCAAACCAAGAAAAGACAGTTGATCTGTTGTGATTATGTCAAGTACAGAGCAGGCAAGATGAAATGACCTGACAGCTCCAACCAGTAAAGATATAACAAGCCCTCTTTAGATTTATTTTTCTTGAAGATTTATTTTTCTTTATTTTCTTTCTTCAGTTTTTTTTTTTTTTTTGAAACAGAGTCTTGCTCTGTTGTTCAGGTTGGAGTACAGTGGCGAGATCTCTGCCTCCTAGGCTTAAGCCTCCCGATTAGCTGGGATTACAGGTGCCTGAGACTATGCCTGGCCAATTTTTATATTGTTAGTAAATACGGGGTTTCACCATGTTGGCCAGGCTGGTCTCAAACTCCTGACCTCAAATGATCCTCCCACCTTGGCCTCCAAAGTGCTGGGTTTACAGGTATGAGACACTGCACCCCACCCCTCTTTAGATCTAGATGGTTTATTACTCACATAAATAGCAAAAGGAAGGGTAGTCAAAGATATCAGTTCCTTGTGGTCCTTGTCCCACATCCCAAAATAGACATGGAGACAAAAGGACTAGATTACTGTGAAATGCGTTGTCAGACAACCGCATTGCTGAGGAGCTG